GAGCTAGTGAGGGCCAGGGTAGCAGCCAGCACACATAGCAGAAAGTCACACTTTAACTGGTCAAAGTCACTGTTGTACCTCAGGCACACAGACTCAGAGAGTCGCTGATGAGGTTGGGAGGTACTTCTGGAGGTCTCTTGTCCAACCTCTGTGCTCAGAGCAGGGTTAGCTACAACAGGTTGCTCAGGGACGTGTTTAGTTGGGTTGAGTGTCTGCAAGGATTGAGACTTCATGACCTCCCTGAGCAACCTGCTCCAGTGTTTGAACACCCTCACAGTAAGAGTACATCTGAATGGATTTTCCTGTACTTCAGTTTGTTCCTATTGCCTCATCCTGTTCCTGGGTACCAGTGAGAAGGGTCTGACTCTGTCTCCTTTTTTGCCTCATAGGGTACACAAAGATGATACCCCTAAACCTCTTCCAGCCTCTCCTGCTATATCAGGCTTCACAGCTTTTGCTGATCTAACTTCAATATGGCCATCTCTTCTACTGGTATGTCCAGACCAGGGCACAGTAGATTTCAGTGATCTGGCAATACTCAGTTCAAGCTGCCAGACCATACCTTGGTGCACACAGCCCAGGCAGGCAGGATGATCCCATTCTAAGCTGAAGACCATGTAAAGACAGATTCAGCAGCTGGCCAAACCTACACAGATGTCTCTCTCCTGATAAAAGGTGCAACAGTGTCTCTGCCTACCCTAAAGCCTGGTTGCCCTATGCTAGATGGGTCACACTGGTCCTCTGTGTAGTGCTCACATACCTCCAGGGCAGTGCATCTCAGCACAGCTCTGAAGGTGCACGGAGGATACCGAGGACAGCTCTCTACTGCACCACCTGGTTTGGCACTCTCCTGCACAGGCAGAGTGGCAGCACACACCAAGGCACAGGATGGCATATCCCAATGAAACTCTATCAACGTTGTCTGTAGCTAACTGTTGACTAGTCCTAATAGACCAGTTATTCTAAAACTATTATCCTAGCTTTGAATTAATCTTTCAACTGAAAGCATTTCCCCTTTACCTTTCTTTCTTTCTTTTGGTTACACACTTCTAGTTCTATGCTAAATTTTATTTGATGAATGACATGAACACAGCTGTCACTATCCCTGCTGTATCCTGATGAAGTATTTAAGTGGTGACATTGATGGAGAAATGATTGAAGTGCTTTGAGTGCAGTGTTTGCAATGACTGCCCATAACATGGAGGTGGCAACACGGGCTACACCTGTTCCTCCTTGTGGACCACCTGTCTCACTGAAAAGGTGTAGTCTCTGAGGTTGAAAAGAGGCAGATGTGAGCTTGTTTATGCATGTACTTCATACTTACATAGATGAAACACCTATAAATGCTGCATTTTGTCTGAAAAAGAGGTCTTACTCCAGAAAAAAACCCACACCACCAAACCTCTTTTTTTATTGATATGAAGTAATTGAAATGCTGCTAAAACCACATTAGCAGGATCAATGGCAGCATGGGGAAACTACCCTTGTGTGAGGCAAACCACTTCTGAAGAAAATGACCTTGTGATGATCAAGAGCCTGCTAATAGGAATTGGTTCAAATTTTTATGGTCTGCCTTCCCTCCATCCAGCATCTCCATGCAGCTTGACATCCTAGCTGCACCTTTGCTCTTCAGCTTTTTTTTATCCATGTACAATATCACAGTCTTGTTCCCGTGAGTTTTCTTCCCCTGTTTAGCCTCCTCCCATAGCCTGCTATCCATCCCAGCACCCTTCCTCTCCCAGTCCCATTCACCACAGTCTCACAACCCGCCAGCATCTTAGTCCTGGATTGCAGCTCTGCATCTGCACCATCTCACTTGTAGTTCAGTCAGTGCTGCAGCCATGAGACCTTGTGCTATGCAGCCTGTAAGAGCAGACTTTCTCCTGATAGGAGAGATAGGCAGAAGGAAGGAGCAAAGCATACAATTCCTTGGTCCTCAGAGTATCACGGGCCACCTACAGGTCATCGTCTCTGTTTCATGGAGTTGGGAACTGAAGAGAAGAGGCATACTGGAGATGTATGAAATGGGGGCAACAGTGGAGCCAGGCCAGCACCAAATCTAAGCTATGATCAGCAGATTTAAACACAATTTTATTACTAAAAATAAGATGAAAATTATCACAAATCACAGATTGCAAATGTAATATTCCAAAACATGTTTCAAATCTGGAATCATTCCAGGGCCAAAAAAGTGCACTTTTTTTCCTAACTGATAAGATTGCTCTCATTCTTTCAAACATATCTTCCTTTATGAAGGTACTCTGAATTAAGAATTTGGATATAGGAACCAATCTAGACTAGAAAGGAATGAAGTTACTGAGACTTAAAAATAATCACAGAGAGGGCAAAGAGAAAAAGAAACTTGATGCGAAATGCTTAAAGTTTTTGAAATTATTAGTTTATACTGGAGTATAAACTAACTGGAATATCAGCTAACAATTCCAGTACTCTGATCACTAAATTATCTTGCAAAGCAAATGTCATTATGTTATTTTAAAAGGGTTTTAAAGGTTTTTTTTTTAAAGGGGTTTACTTTTTAGAGGAGTTTACTAACAGAGATGTAAACAGAACAGGTCCATGGAGGCAGAATGGAAAGTTATAAACATTACAGCAAACTAATGACCTCTGATACCATGGATGTGTCGGATCCTAAAGCAGACATGATATTCAGCATCTGCTGCAGGACTAACAAAACACCATATTTCTTTCTTTGTCATGGAGAGCATGCAGGACAGATGTGATCTGCCAATTACTTTATTCTCAAGACTGAATTAGCAAATATCATCTACTCCTTCCGGCTTCTATACAGGAGAACAAAAGACAGGGATCTTGCTCCCTCAAGCTCATAGGCAGATTTACAGTCTGTCCGAGCACTTTACAAATTGCAGAGGTGGCACGAGGGACATTTGTGTATGCAAGTCAGTCACAAGTCCTCAAAAGAGGAGGTGTATGATGTATTTCAGAGTGGAAATGTACAACTGCTCTTTGAGGAGTACTACTTTTCATTTCTGAAAAATCTCTCCATCCATAAATTACCACAAATGAATTGTTACTACAAACACCTGTTCAGGCTTCAAAAATTTGAAATAGCAAGTCATGTAATGAGCAATCATTAGTTTAAAGATCATTCTTTGAGATTATAAAGCATGGTTGCCAAATCACATGGAAAATGCAACTCAACTCAGTGATGAAACAGATCCTTTCTAGTCCTCTGCTTATAAAACCATATGCTTTTCTATCATTTTACTGGTGCAATCACCCCAGAAGCTACAAGTGGTACAAATCAGAAGCCATTCAAGGGATGACGGGTATCACTCTGTAACACTCCACCACTTTGCCTGTGAACTAATAGAGACTTTATTTCCTGACCCAACAAGCAGCAAGCATTTTTGACTATACTACCTGGGCCTACAAATGACAGCAAATATGTAGAAAAGTTCTTTCACCAAAAACTATTAGTTGTAAGCAACAATTAAGGGATCAGATAATTTTGCCTCTCAAATGGAATATAAGACAGTGTGTCTAATTAGCAGGATATACTTTGCAGGATTTAAGTGAATGTACAAGGTGCAGCTTAATTCAGCATTGTGGAGCTTTCAAGAATTTCTAAGATTTCACTGCATTTTTAAACTGCAACAGCATCACAATCCAAGCACAATGGGGATGAGAAATATCTACCATTGTCAAGTCAGTCAGAGCAACAACGTGAGCCACTCCCTCGGTTCTTCTTAATTTCTAACCACCTCAATGTATCCAGCACAAAAGACCTCTTTATTGGAAAACACCTTAGAAATAAAATAACCAAACAGCCATGTCTCTGCTTTTGCATGTCATGCTCTCCAGAACTTCTGCTGAGCCAGGGGATTCCCATTAGGGAAGGAGTTGCTCCTCAAGTTGCCTTTCAAGTTCCTGGTGAAAACTGATCTTCTACATGTCCATTCTGGGAACGAAAATAATATTTGCTCAGTTATCTCACTCCAAAGCAGTTTCCTTGATATTGTGTGAGTGTAATTGAAAGGGATAGCTCTAGAAAATAGCCTTTATCATTAAGAATATCATTCAGAATATTTAGCTGTGTAGTATCTAGTAATATAAACTGAAAATTGTTTATATTTTTGCAAACTACTGTAAAATCAAAAAAATGTAGAGGTTGCATTCATTTTGGTAAAAGCAAATGCTTTCATAAACTACTAGGCTTGAAAAATCAAGCTGCTACTTTCAAGGCCAAATTTTTAAAATTATGTCAATCCATTTTCCATTAATGTCATCACGGTTATTGGGAGGTGGTGGGAGGGTTTACCCATCATTTCCTCTCTACTGGGATAAGCCACAGACTGTATATAAGCAATACCATCAGTATGCGCAAATTGGATATGAGGTGCACCATCTGTATATGCAAATGACAATTAAAAAAGACATATTCAAGCAACAGCGCATGCAAGAAGGCAATATTGGAAAAAATGGTCCAAGACTTCTGTATGTCTTAAAGAGGTAAAAATGTCTGTTAGATGCCATACTCCCGTAAGAGCTGTGAGCAAGTCAAACTTCTGAATGTAAGGCAGTTTCTCTTCTTTGATTATGAAGATTTAATACTTTGCAAGGTTGGAGAAGGCAACATACATTACAGATTGGTTAGTACAGGTTTTTGTTTTTTTTTTTTAAAAAAGCTGCTAATGGAAATAATGAAGGCATTTTCCTCCTACATGGAAATTGTCTCATATTCCAATTTATTTCAGTATAAATTTATTGTTGCATATGCTAATACACAGAATTGAACAAGAAAAAATTATTAATTGCAATGTAAAACATATGGAAACATACAGATTAGGTGATCTTTACTAAAAATCTATCTTGATGATAAAGGCACCATTTAGCATGCACTCTGGAACTGCACTCCATTTATTTATGACACACTAATTTCTGTAGACAAAGAAATAGCTTCCAAAAATAAGACTACCATATTTTCAAGGCATACTGTATATTTTATTTTTGTAACTAGTAAATGTCAAACAGTATTCAAACCCGGTATTGACGCATTAATGTTTTCATTCAACAGTGAAGATACTTTTCCTTGTTACATTATATATTTATGACACACAGAGCTGTCAAATAAATTATGTCAAAGCAGCTACAGCCAGACCTTGTGACACTTGAATCATAGAATCAGGGCAAATAACCTTTAAAATGAAAGACATATGATGAGAATTAGAAGCATTTAATTTGCATAAATATAATGTTAACAGTCTTTTCCTTATTACATATTTTATGCCTAATTTTTTTAAATTTTTAATTGCCACTATATTCATTTCTTAACATCAGTTTGCACTCTATTTTTTTCCTCATTGCTCACTTTGTTTTGGAATGTGTGAAACACAAATTCTGTAAGAAGCATCTGATTAGATCCCCATTTTAATATATTCTGATTAGCAAAACTTAAATATTGTGGAAAACTTCCCATTAACCTGAGGTACTATTTAAAATGTAGATTAATTCCTAAAAATAGCTAAAAATTCCTAAACACATCAAGCTGTCTCTGGAAAGCAATCTTATATTAAAGTTCCTATGAAATGCAGAATATTGAAGCATTGATTTCCATAAGCTAGGTGATTGATACATTTTGAATTTAGAAATGTAAAACCTGAGCATATAGGTATAAGTATACATACGGGAATCAAAGTGAATGGTTAGGTTTTCAGACTTGCTTACTACTCAGAGTAGTTCACTGGTAGTTCACTGGTTTCATTAGTTAAAACTTGTTTGTAAATGAGAGACTTCATTGAGCCTCTGCTGGCATATGCAGTCTATCTCTTGCACCTTTAGAAATCAGTAAGAGCAGTGAGACCTCCACACTTTGCTCTTATTGCTAACACTGCATAAGCTCACATACGTAAGCACAGTTAATAAAACTTCGCATTATTCTGAAAACTCCCTAAGGATGTTCAAGTAAATAAAGCTGAAGGTACAAAGATCAGTGTCTGCCTCAGGAGGGTACAATAACTAAACTCCTTATTTTATTGACTTTAATTCCCCTCCATGTGGATAGTAGGCTCTATCCTACAGGGTGAGTTTGGCTCATTTCACCCTTCTGGATCAGAAGAATAAATATGGTATATTCTATTTATAACATTCTATCATTTTATAATAATGGCAGTTGGACTAGATGATCACTGTTGGTTTCTTTCAAATGTTACTCTATTCTATTTCATTCCATTCCATTCTGCTCTAGTGAAGCTAATTGTGATGTTTTGGGTTTGGTTTCTATATATTCACATAATAATTTTTCCTGAGAGCCAGAGGGAAGCTAGTGGACAGTCTGTACAAAGAACCATTGAGGGAACGGTTTAAAGTGATAGTTGAAATTGCCTCCAAAACTTAACCTAGAGGGTTTAGGGTGTTTCCTTAAATCTTCACCAAAGAATTAAGCAGTTGTTTGTCGGTTGACTCAGTGGCACAAATACACCATCACCGGAGATTTGCAGAGAGCAACTCAGGGAGGACACGAAGCAACTCCCATCCCACCAGCAGAGCAACTGGTGATCTGGCAGTCCATGAGGTGCATGAGGTCTGATGGCATCTCATCCTGGTGGTTTGAAGACAGGCCATGTGCAAGCACAGTTTCAGTAAACTTCAAGATTTCAGAGGGGTGGGTTGTGGAGAAATGGAAACTGTATCAGTAGTGAAGTAATTTGCCCTTCAAGGTCAATAGCAAAAGAGAAATGATCCTCCGCCACTGGCTGCTCAGGGTTCTATGGAGCAGTTTTACAAGGCCTAAACTCAACACAGAAGATCTTTGAGCTAATGGGAGATAAATGTCCATCCCAAAACAGCCATTTAACTGTGGAAAATTTATTCCTATTGAAAGCAGTAGAAATTGGAAGTAATTTTGATAAGCACTACAAAATTGATCATTTGATGCAGAGGGTTTCATCAAGGGCTAACACTACAAGGAATTTTAAAAGTATCTGTGTTTTTCCATTTAAAAGATCATTCAGAACAAAACTGAAAGTCTCCTGGTAGATGTTATCTTTGCTAAAGACCCTATTTGTAACAATTTCATTAATCAACTTATCTGTACATCTTCAGAAAAAAACATTTACCCACCAAAGAATAAATGCTGAACTTAGTAGAAAAGATACCATTTATTCATTTATTCAGTTTGCAGTTAAGTAGAAATCTCCATTCAGCCATGACATAAAATTGATGCTTCTACAATTAAAGTACATTGTAAATAGTTTCTAAAGTGTTAATAAATTACTAAAACTGTTTGAGGAAATTATTAATCAAATGTTATAGCCTGTTACTGAGTCCAATGATGTAATGAGTCATTTGCAATCAACTACAGCATCTGAAATTAATGCACTTGGGACAATATACGGAATTTATTTCTTCTGTGTATAATGAGCTTCTCACAGTTATTTATCAACCTTTTCCACAGTAATTATGAAAGCAGTTTCAGAAGAATATGTACAGAACGTTTCTGGTCATCTGTGAGATAAAGTGGGAAATAACTCCAAGAGTTACTCATAACTGAAAAGGCAAAAAACCCCATGGCTCTCTCCCATTGTCATCTAGCAGTGTGTGTAATTATCAAGACTAGAAGAAAAGCTTATCAATGTCTTAACACAACTATATGCAGGGACATGAAAGTCACTCCACGAGCCACCTCATCTCCTTCACGCAGCAGCTTTGGGCAGACAGAGCAAGGATGGCCCAGACAAGCATACATGTGTAACTGCTGCTGAAAACAGAACACAGCACTAGATTTTTCCTCTAGACTCCAGCTGCACAAAGCACTCTTGTACTTCCCTCCTCTCTGTAGTGCTAAGATGGCCATTAGGGCAGTTAGCTTTAATAGATTTTTTAAGTCAGTGAGAAAAAAAATCCTACTACCTCATCCTTTCTCATTTTTGGATTCCTTTTTGTTCAGCTCGCATTTTATTGCTGGTGTTCACATATGGCAACAAAGGCAAGAGCAAAAAAGTTGTATGTAGAATCATAGAATGGTTGGGTTGGAAGGGAGCTTACAGATCATCTAGTTACAACACCTTGCCATGGCCAGGGACACCTTTCACTAGAACAAATTGCTAACAGCTCCATCCAACCTTCCCTTGAACACTTCCAGGCCTAGGACATTCCCAGCTTCTCTGGGCAACCTGTTCCAGTGTCTCTCCACCTTCACAGTAAAGAATTTTTTTCTAATATCTCAGCTAAACTTACTCTCTTTTAATTTGAAGCCATTCCCCCTTCTGTCATTACATGCTTTTGTAAATACTCCGCATGTTTCTTGTAGGCTCCCTTCAGGTACCGGAAGGCCTCGATGTGTTGCCATATAACATGATACTGATGTGATAGTATAATCTAGTATGATTGCTGACAATCTACAAATACAAACCAAATACTCAACCTGTGAATTCCTCCATCTACTTTGTGTGTTCACACACAGTCCTGCACATCCCTAATCAGGATTAGGGCTGAAATGTGGCACACACTTTATGTGTCTGCACTGTCATCTCTCAGCTGCCAAAGCTGAAGATTTCAATACCAAACAAATCACAGCTCAAACTGGAAATAAAGACTATTCTATGCTGGAAACAAGAAAAAGTTTTTCCTCTTCAGTCTGAGCTAAAGAACACCTGTGGCTTTGAAAATGTAGCAACTTATAACTCATGACAACTACTAGAGGAGGGGGACAATCTAAGGGACACTTAATCAACATGCAACTGCCTTCTCTGTACACAGTTTTCCCATGGACCTGGGCAGGCATTAAAAAGTATACGAAGACAAGAATGAAAAATGGAAGCATATGATAGCTGTGATATGATGCTGTCACAGCAAATGGCTGTCTTGAACAGAAGGAAGGGGAAGTAAAGACATTAGAAACAGTATGCATTGGTATATGGCTCCCTGCGTATACTCTATCAATGATAACATACTCTTTTAAGAATTCAAAATGTCTCTATTTCATACACAAAACTACAGAGGCACATTACAACTAATGGTATGATAAAAAATATCTAAAAGAATATATCTCATTGGTAAACACAGTCAGTACCTCATGTCTACTTCTTAATAATTTTTATCTAAATGTAATTTTTATCTAGATATAAAAATATTATATAAAACCACTATAGAACAATTGCATGAACATTCTCTGAGTGATAGCAGCTGAAAGACTTTCTTTCTGAATGGCAGATCAATCATTACTAAATGTACTAAATATATATGGCATACAAAAGGTCATCTATGAGATCCACTGGTGAAAAAAACCTAAGGAGAAACCATGGTGTAGTTCATTCTGAATATGAGCAGATGAAACTAGCCATACTCAGTGAGTGGGCATCACACTTCACTCTGTTCACTGTACTTGCTGTAATTCTAAATTGAGAGACACAGAAAAAAAAATATTATAAAGTTTTCCAAGAATATAATGTAAAATTAGCAGATGGAGTGATAGCTTGAAAATGCCACCACTATAAAGATTAATATTCCAAAAAATTATTTATGATTAGAATGAACTGAATAAAGCAACAGGCAATTTTCTTATCAATTTATAAACATAAGAATTAGAATGACACAACCTTATCATTGGAGGATGTAGATAAGAGCATCTTTGCATTTCTGAACAGAGTCAGAGTTGGAAATGAACCATGAAGCCCTCTTGCCTCTACCTTTCTGACAGTGAAAGACTATTCCTTTCTGTGGCGGGAAGCTGAAATGTAAGTCGGAATGAATCACTTTCTATTAGTCTCCAACTCCTTCCTCCTATTTTTTTCTATCCTGCCTACTCCTTAATGTAAACAGTCAAAAGTCCTACTGACCTCAGCATCTTAAAAAGTCACAGGAGAAGTATATAGACAGACTGGTAGTTACAGTGTGGGGCCTCTGGTGGTCTAGTGGTTAGGGTGCAGGACTCTCACCGCTGCGACCCGGGTTCGATTCCCAGCCCCCCGGGCAGATGGAGCTCGTCAGCCTTGTAAGGCAATCCATCTAAGAGAAGGTCACTCTAAACAAAAACCTACGTCCTGAGACCCCTCACTGCCACTGGTCGAAGCTTGCTCGGCCCCGGCAGATGAACCTCAGGATTAAAGGGTGGGCTCAGTTCAGCGCACCCTGTGTCTCACCTAAAAAATCCACTGTGCAGGCTTGAAGGGTTAATGACCTTTCCCAAATCTTTGCTCGTGAAGACTGGTCATTATTATAGTTACAGTGTGGTGCTGCTTTTGTAGTCACCCTGCCTTTTCATTCCCCTCCCCAGGTGTTAAACACAATAAACACATAAAATCCTCTGAAGCTCATACTTTGAATACTTTGAAGAAACATTAGCAGCATATATACACTGTTCATAATTACATTTAAATTTCGAGGCTGGATGCAAGCCTTTCAGACTAAACTGCTAAGCCACTATGCCGAAGTTTGAGTTGCCTAGCAGCTCTGGTAGAAACATGTGGTCAGTTCCTAGAAAAGTGGACTTCTGAGCTGTAACTCCCCCTTTTCACTTTGAATGTTTGGTCTATCTATGTCTCTTTGCCATACAATGAGAATGCTAGTGCATAGCTATCTTACAAGAATCTTAGGAAAGTTAATTAATGTCAATAAAAATGCAGGCATTTTATGACACAACGTTCATTCTAAATCACCTAATCAGACCCAGACAAAATATACAATAGCCATCTCTTTTATTTTTGCCCTGCAGTTACCATTTCAGTAAATTATTTTTTGCAGGGCAACATAATGAAAAATGTTGGAAAGAGCTGAAAAGACCGTGTTTTTCTGGTCAAGCCACTAGACCAACTGTGCCAACTCAATTTAATCTGGATAAATCAATGGAAAGTGGTTTTTTTTCATAGGCAACTCAAATTTAATTAGCAAAATAAAAAATTAAGGAAAACCCAAACAACCAAACCACAGACCATGATGAGTTTAATGTCTCTTGGAGAAGGCTTGAGCCAAGCTCCAGCCGTGTTTGGAATCATAAATAAAACCATGGGAAAGCACACTACTTGCAATGCACACTCGGTTACACTGGCATTACAATGGAAAAGGATCACATAGTTTATGAGGAAAGCCCAGGTTTACAATATTTTTAATAAGGAATGCAAGAATCATTGAGCAAGTAAATATATGCTCAAGTAAGTCAATGCGTGTTCAAGCCTCAAGCCTCAATTTCTGAGCCAAGCCTTTCTTCTCTCTCTAGCTCTCTCTTCCACCTCGTGCAATTCCTCTCCCCTCCTTCCACCAGAGAGCCTACACGGCATGCTACAGTGCAAGGCAGAGACAAGCTTAGTAGCTCAAACCAAACTTGCTGGGGATCCAGAAGGATTTCAGTCAGACCAGAGTGGTGTTGTGTGAAGTAGCTTCAAGCAATCCAGGAGGGATAGTAGTTTCAGTAATGCAGAACTGGATGTGAGTTAATTTGCCTCACTGAGAGGCTGTGTTAGGTGTTTCTAGAGACATAAGTGGAGAACATGCCCAGATTAATGCACCTTAACACCGTGCCTCTGGATCTAGCCTAGAAGATTGAGAACACATTGCAAAAGGAGAGATGATGGTGGGAAGAGAGTGCTAGCAGCAAAAAACTGGGTAACTGCATTGTGAGGCTGACAAACAGTTGTAGAGAATAGATAGATAAAAGATTTCTGCCCAAAAGGTTCAGTGGGTAAATAAGACTTTCCCAGACTTTTAACAAATTGCTGTGAGCATCCAAGAAGCCCTTGACACTTCACTTACCCCTGCTTGTAAGTCTTACCCTGTGAATTTGAATGGCATCAATTGCTGAAGAAATAGATTCAAAAAAGACAGGATTTTCAGATTCAAGATATCCACCGTACTGCATTGCTTTTATCAAGGAAGCTGCAATAAAACGAACTCATGAGCACTGATAAAATAGTGAGGATATATAAACCATCAAATTAAAATTTTTCTGTAAGATGATACTTGCCTTTGCAGTGTGCTAGCAACACATTGATGTGTCTGTTCTTACAGTCCATGTAAATCTAAATGTGTGAAAACATGAAATTAAAAAAAAAAAAAGAACCTGTTTAAACAGAGAGTAAAATACACAAAACCCCCATATCCAAGGTAGGCAAAGCGCCTGGAATGCTGCTGTAGCAGCTGTACTACCAGCAGCCACCAGAGTGAGCCCTTCTATTATGCAAACACCACGAACCCACACTGATTTCCTACCCCCTCTTCACAGTACGCTATAGCTCTGCCAAGAATTAAAACTGAATTTGATTAACAATTTTTCATTTTTTACTATAATTTTTGAGGGGGTTATTTCCAGATCTCCTGTTTCGGCGTGTTTTTCCATCTCCTTGCCATATGCTTACCTACCAGTCCACACAAAAAGAAATCAGACCTAGGAAACTTAGACACTTCATGAGTTTATCAGAAAAGCACCATAACCATCATGCTACATTCTGCATTAAGTTGTTCTTTATACTTTCTTTGAAAATGGTCAACTCCACAGAGACCAAATGTTGAATAAGAGAGAAAGTAAAAGAGAAAAAAAAAAAAGTGAAAATGACTCTAAAACCAGAGTAAAGCCTTTTTCTGCCAGATGAGGAATGTTCAAAGCAGTTCCTGCATTAAAAAAATGTTTAAATAATCCATATAAAATGGAAAAATTCTGGAAGACAAGATTCAGTGAGAAGCCCATCAGAATACCTTATTTTTAAAAATAAACAGAAAGCCATACTCAGTCCAAAAATACCTTTATCTCTGGCATCAGTGATGACATTTTGGGAGGAGTGTAACAACAAGGACAGGTTGAGTGTGTTCTTCTCTGAGTAATTCAGTTTAGGACCAGCCATTCAGCCAGATGCTTCACTCTCAACTTGCGCACTTCACAGCCCATGTCAGACTTACCTCCCACAAATTTGTCGAACACTTCTTTGACATAATTTGTAGTTCAGAGGTCTCTAAGATCTTTTGGAAATAAGTTTCACAATTTTTTCTTAATTAATACTTTATTGAATGCCCTGTGCTTTGAAGGGATGTGTAATAAAGAATAACTCCCACTAACCTTATTTTTCCAGTTCTCTTTTTTACTATATCCCTATCTATATGTGTAGTTTTAATTTCAAATCTTTTAAGGCAACACTTACTTCACTGTACAATGAGTAAGTGAAGTAATTGAAAAAATTGAAAAAATGGTTAGGATAAGAAAAGGCCTGGGCTGAGACCCAAGTTCAAATCTAGTCTTCTGTCTTACTCAGAAAAATTATGCAAACCAAACCTTGCATACCCATTTAACTCTGTACTCACTACACAACTTTTAAACTCAAGACCTGATGGAAATGTAAGGAACAGCTTTTGAACATAATTTTTCATCCGCAATATAGAACTTCTTTTTATGCATAGAATTGTTTAGTTTGGAAAGGACCCTTAAGATCAGTGAGTCCAGCCATCAAGCAGGCACTGCCAAGTCCACTGCTAAACCATGTCTTTCCAGCCACTCTGCCCCCAGCCTGCAGCACTGCATGGGGTTGTTGTGACCAAGTGCAGAACCCAGCAGCTGGCCTTTCTGAACCTCACACCGTTGGCCCCGGTCCATCGATCCAGCCTGTCCAGACCCCTCTGCAGAACCTCCCTACCCTTCAGCAGATCAACACACCCGACTTGGTGTTCTCTGCAAACTTCTTGAGGGTGCACTTGATCCTCTCGTCCAAATCATCAGTAAAGATATTAAACAGGACTGGGCCCAGAACTGGCTCTGGGGAACCTCAGTTGTGGCCAGCCGCCATCTGGGTTTAGTTCCATTCACCACAGTAACCAGTGATTACCAGTTTTAGTCCTCTGGGAGCACCTTGGAGCTCTGGCAATGCCTGAACCCAGTTGTTGGATATGTCACCCACAGGAGAAAACATGGAGGTCGTGTTTTGACCTCTGGCTTAGCAGAAAGCAGGACATACACATAAAATCACAGAATTAAAAGCCGGAATTTTAAAGGGGTAAATCTATACATGGCTCCATGGCAACTGACATGACAGGATCAAATATGATCTAAAACAACTTTAAAACTAAAAAAAAAAAACCCAAAAAAAAACACTAAAAAAAAAAGTTCAGAAAAACGTCTTTCTTTCATGCAGATATGTGCATTTGCACTGTTACCCATAATATTTATAAATATTTTAATGCAATTTTATATATAAACACAGTGCAGTTTAAAACCAGATCTGTGTTCATCCTTTCCATGAATCACATGTTTATCCACTGATATAGGTGAAGTAGTTGCCCCCAATAACTCATATGTGTAATTTTAATATATACAGAATTTTTCTGGTATCATGAATACCTGAAGAAGCACTGAGACTCCAGTGTAGTCAAAGAAATTCAGTCCACTGCAGTCTAATATCAAAACACATCTCTCACTGTGACATGACTGCACAGATTCACCTGCACATTGGATAAATGAAAAACTTTAATTAAAAGAAAGAATAGTCAAGAACTGGATATAAGAGTAATGATAGCTCAACAAAATAAGGCCAAATTATCACAATAAAAATTTTACTGGGGTATGTACTGGGGTATCAAGCAAGTAAATGGCACATTTTAGAAGCACAAATGAAGGACTTTTAGAGCAATGGGATGAAGTGATGACAGGCAGAACATATTATTAATGAGATGTTTTAGATAGCATAGTATCTCAAGAATTAAACAATTGTTTCTTCAAATTTGAATTTCTAATTGAGTCATGATAATAACTTGGCTTGTTTGGAAGATTTTTCAGGGGATACACAGAAAATATAGCTCTCTTTTAAGTTTTAATATGACATTGATTTCTACAGTACCTAAAAACCTGTCTATGCCTTAACTTAATATTCACCCACAAGGAAGAAGAATATGTGAAGTGGAGTGTTTCATTTTCCTAAGGTTTTACTGTGCAGGCTTTTGTTTGGTTAATTTTTTAATATACTATCTCATATTTTTGCTGGAGAAAAAAATTATGTTGGCAATATTTGCAAAGGTCTTATTCTTCAACTTCGGGCCACCTTGTGTTTAATCTAAACACACTCTGTTCTAAATGCATCCTGAACCAGCACACAGATAAATGATTCCTGGCTTTCATAAAGGGAAGACTAGAAAATAATGCACATCTTATTTATATTATTCTGTGAACAAGTGTTTGTTATCATAATGCACACAACTCAAAAAAAAAAGAAAATGAAGAAAGGGAATTCTGGATGTAATGATGAGTTAAGCTAAATGGCATTGGTAGAGCAGAGGTAAAGATTTTAAACTATTGAGGGGAATTAGAATTTCACCATGATGCAAATTTATAATGGTGATAATTCCTTTGCGACAGTAGTCTGAGAGCCAGAGCCTTTTGGACTTGCATCTCCAGAGATTTACTGTCTTTGTACTGTCCAATGTACAACAACAGATACATACCAAACAAAAATACAGAATCTTAAAGGGAACTTCCTGTCTGACATTATTGTGATAGAAACCTAGAAAGGATTTATGAGATCTGCTAGGCTGTTCAGTGTAATAATTCCTGCTGCATTGCATTAGAGGCTGCCTGGCTTCTAAATGGAGGGATAGGTACACACCTGCTCCCTCTTTGGACCAGTGCAAGAGCAACAGCAGCTGTTTCATTTGGTGCTGATACAGACAGTACTCCCCAAAAGGAGAAAGGAAAGATTCTTTTCCTTATGACAAAGACGTAAGTTGCCATGCTTTCCAGGGCAACTGCCATAAGGATTAAGGTTTGTGTCCTCTTCCTCTCCTCCTTCCTGAAAATTTAAACTCCACATTTTGTTTTTCTCTTTATGGGCATTTTTCTTTTTTTTCTCCCTGTTTTTTATTTTAAAGGCCCCACAAAGAATCACCATAGGCTGGTTGGTACAAGTAACAACAGAGCATTTAAGTCCTCAAGTTAGAACTTAGGCTTTCAGAAAAGAGATTTTATACTGTCTGTCACTTCTGTAATGTGAGAAACCAGTTTATCTTCAAGACAACTGAAATACATACTGGCAAGATCTTCTCACACATAGTATTTTACGGTATAGTCAATACAATACAATACAGTCTTTGGTAGCCATTATTACAGGTTGCTATGCTACATCAAAGCACTCCTTCAGCCCCAAGTAAACTAAACACTGTAGCATCATAAAAATGTCATGAGTCTGGTTAATAAATGCAGAAATTCAGACAACAGCCTCCCGAACAGATTATCTGCTGCAGCCTTAATGCTTATAAGCATTTTAAATAAACACAGTGTTTTAATTCAATCCAAAATTAAATCATCTGTATAAAGTATCTTCTGCAAAAGGTTGCTGCAGCTCTCCCACGAGAATGCGAGTGCTCTGGTTTGATTTAAATGTTATAAAATGTGGGAAGAGTGGAATTATCCAGCTTAATCCTTAATTGAAAGCAAACTCCTAGGTTTTTTCTTTATTCTATACTGTATTGATATACTGTACAATATTGGTAGTCATTGTGTCACTGATAATTCAGTTGACATTTTCTGTGATTTTCTCCTATGTGGATTTAAAGATCACACAGATTTAACATGGTTAAAATCTTATCTTATTTTTACTTTTCCATACTAGTATTCAACTCTGTGAATGGAAAAAAACATGACCAGAGCTGAGCAAAACAGCCTCCTGGGCCTGATCTGAAGATCAGTGCAGGCAGCAACATGGGAAGTGCTTCCCCTTCTGTGTACCTGGCTCATTATGCTCACAGTTGTTCCTGTGAAATGAGCAGGCACTCCCAGAAACATAGAATGGTTTGGGTTGGAAGGGACTTAAGGATCACCTAGTTCCAACCCCACTGCCATGGGCAATGAGTCTTCCACTATAAACTTCCACTCCCACAGAAAAGGTGCTTTCATGGGTACCCTACTTTTGAAATCTGAAAAAGTCAGTCAAAACCAAAATGAGAAACAGGACTTGTTAGACCAAAGTTAAGAGTTTAATACAGTTTAGCATTCATGTTTCCTTGAATGTTTGGTCTAACTGAAAATATTAGTTTCCATACAACTTGAATTCATCTAGAAATATATAGAAAAATGTGGAGCCATTTTGCACACTTACATCCATCTTGGTTTTAATATTTTATATTTATTTATATATTTGTATATATTTATATTTATATTTATATTTTATATATTTATATATTTATATATATTTAATAATTTATAGAAAACTCACCATGACAACTTCCATTGGAAAATGGACAGAGCAATGTGTTCTGCTCACACTGAAATAAAAGCAACAAACTAATAACATACCAAGGAAAACTAGTTCAATGCACAGGAACCAGAGAAAATCAATGCAATGCATATGAATTCTGTTTCTCAATATCAAAGTTAACTCATTCTCTCTGAAGTCATGTTCTATCCAACACCCTTTTGAATATATATTATTTTCTAGTATAACCTTAGAAGAATACTGAGATACATACTCAAATTGATATTTTGCTTTTCTTTAAAAAGATGGGAAAGATGTTCTTGAAAAGATAGGTGATTTTATGAGATTAACTTGCTGCAATCTCATCTGCTATGCTAATATTTTAGTAAGAACATTTTTATATGCAAATTTATTAAAAATTATCTTTATTTGGAGAGTTTTTATAAAAATTATTTCAATATGTATGTTAAGTTCTCAGTAGAAATAGGAGCTGAAGCCAGAACTAGAGCACAGAAACAAAATCCAAACTGCATTTTTTTTCCACATCCATTATGTCCTACAGAAAGACATTTATTCCACCAAAAAAAAATTACAAAAAAAAATTTATGCACAGTACTTCAGGCAACTGTACTGCCAAGTACCTTACAGAAGAGACAAAGGATAAAATCTCCCTCCTAAGTAATGTATAAATTAACTTATTAAATTAACTTATTACACTTATTAAATTAACTCATATATTAATTCCATGCACATCCTAAGTGATGTCTCTCTCTTTGGAGGTTTGTTATCATACCAATCCAAATCAGTTAGCCTAGCAGAACCAAGCATAAAAAGCATCACATTTTCTGAGCTGAATCCTGAATTTCCACCTATTATAGTGCACATCAGTAGCACAACTCTTTGTCAAGGGACAGCAGAGGTGGTAGACACATATTGCTGTCTTAACAACCCATCTAAAACATACCTGTGATTTGCTCAGCCCAGTTTACCAAACTGGATGAAATTTTCTACAGCAAGCATTGCATAGTATTGAAATGTCTTCATTGTACTGATAGACAAATGATAATTTAATTTTCTCCCTTTTAGGAAGTGTTGCAGGAAGTTGCAGTAGTCATATGCAGATAAACTTGGAAAATACTATATTTATAGGGATTTTTTCCAAAAAAAAGTGTTATACATAATTTGTATACTGTTTATTTTTGCAATACAATCAGTGCAAAAAATGAAAAAGGAATACTACCTTTGAGAAAATTTACCCACTTTGTAACTTCTTCCCAATTCTCCAGAATTTACTTATAGTTAGAAATGAAGTGTCTATCTCTCATGGACTCATGTCCAGGAAAAAAAAATCACATCACATTCAAGCACATTTGTAGCTACTCTCTGCCTTTCTAGAATCCCAGCCTTACATCATCTGAGGTTATATAAGTTCTTCCATAAATTTTAGAGTTTTGGATCAGTGCTTTAATGTCTCTTAAAGGATCATACACAGAAATAGTGAAGATATTATTCTCAAGTAATAGTAAGAAATAATCCATACTGAATCTGATTAAGATTAGGATTAACTTTATTCTAAATGAATCATTTGCAATTTTACGTTTTTACGTCTGTTTCAGTATCTGATTGCGTTCTTTAAGAAATGCAAGGAAAGCAAGCACAATCTTCAGCACAGTCACTGTGATTAATGAAGCAAATAGCATATCCTCATTTACATCTTCACATACCTGGCTGCTCATGCTATCCTTCTGGATTATCTTTATCAGGTCAGCATGAAATTTCCTGGCATTCAGAAAGACTAATGGATTGTTGACTGAAATTATTTTCACCTGTTTCAATGATTCCTGTGGAATTAAATAAACATAATGCTGCAAAGTTTATCTTGTGTTTGGAGACTAAAACCCAAGCTAATTTATTTAAAAATCCTGAAAATACCTGTAAATTAACTGAGAAAGAGCTTTGTATTGTGAGAGTGATTCAACAGATAACTCTCTTGATTAGCCTTCACACACAGCTGAAGTAAGAATGGAAATGTAAGTAATGTATAATGAAAATTACATTCAGTTCTAGTTACCATGGAAAAAAAGCTTACTCACGATGATGCATAATACTAAGAACTATTATCTGATAAATAATAGCACTGTTTCAGTTGGTATGATCCCTAAATATAAGCAAGACAACACTTGCAGACAGAGAATATATTTTATTAGACAAACACATGTCTTGAAAAAAAGTACATAAGGTTTTGGGGCAAACACTGCAGGTGATTTGGGGAAAGCTGGCAATATTCATCGTAGTCATCTGAAGATAACTTTAGTACAGAGCTATTTCTCCACGAAAATACTTTGTGGATCCAGAACAACCTTGAGTGGCACACTTAAAGCTTTACCAGCACATATCTACAACCAACTCAGTAATCTACACAAGAATCATCAGTCAGCCTTGATCCTGTCTCTGCACTTCACTGAATAAGTTACAAACAGCTTACCAGTACCTTGGGTCACACTGTGTACCTCAAAACATAGATGTTACACAACAGAACAATTTTGGAATGACATCAGATAAAGGTCAGAAACCCCAGGCATCAGGGAGGAACGTTTTGCACAAAACAAATGCAATTTCTCTCACTCTCGAGGTGTACTCATAAAAAGCCTTAAAGCCAGTAAAAAAATTATTATTTATATATAAATATATTGGATATCAGCAATCACATGATTAAATACTGGTTTTGTAGGAGGTAGAATTAAGTTAATTCTACTGAACTATAAATTTTCCACAGGTTGTGTGACGATGGAAATAAAACCAAAAAATTTGCAAGAAATTATAGGTAAAAAAGCCTCTCTTTTCCCTAAAAAAAGTCATACAAGAAGGTCACACTCAGACAAAAGGAAGTGGAGCTGAAACAGACCATTTTTCAAGTAGTTTAAAATTTTTTGGGATTGCATCGAAGATATGCAGTTTTCCCAACAGACTTTCAAGTAAAACGGGAATGAAAATCTTCACCACAAACCACAAAAACTATGTCCTTATTGTAGACTGCTGTTCAGACTTCTGGGAACCAGACGATGTCTTGGACACCACGGCAGTGACCATCATACAAAGGAAACATTTCAAACATCCCAAAGCGAGGCAAAGAACACCAGACTATGTGTAGGGACTTTGCGCAATTTACCTATGCATGCAATTGTGGTAAATCATGGCTGGGCTTCGCCAACGAAGATTTGGGAAGGCTCTATCCACATTTGTTACAGAATTGTGGTAAACATCACATCACTAACATACCTCAGTCAGACAAGTGGCAAAGCATGGCAGCTGAAATGGCTCAGATTATAAGAAAGAAAGCTCTAAAATAAGGGCAAAACAGAGGGCAATATATTTTTGAATGGAGAAATACTCTGACATTCCACGGATTCCCATTAAAAATTATGCTATACACAGCTTGGTGTGGAGACAAGTGGGCACTTCAGTGCCTTAGCAGCACTGGAAAGTAAAAGATGAAAACGGAGGAAAAAGGAAGGCTGATGTGCAAAGATAAAAGCCTGTGATGATCAAGAGGCTAAAAAGCTTCCAAAAGTGCAAGGTGGAAAACTTGAAAGGCTCAAATCATAAGGTCAGATTGAAACGATGGCAGATTTAGGTATACTTTTTTTGTTCAGAATGGGGAAGGTCAAATGTGCCAAATTTGACTCAGTTATTCCAGGCTCTGGTTTGGTTCTTTCTTAAAAAGAATTGTTCTGAGAAAAATGAACTTCTTCTTTGCTGTGTACTTGCTAAGAAAGTGGGAAAATTATTTCAGGTGGCTTGTCCCTGCCATCCCTTAGAAGGACACAGGCAATTGCCCAGTGCACTCTGCACAGCACCATCTATGCTTGGGTAAGGGCTCATTTTAAGTGAACGCCTCTGATGCAATGTGTTTCACATAAGCTTCTAAATACCCTTTGATTTTTTTCCACATTAAAGTGTCTTTTCTCTTATTGGTGAAATAACCCCTATAAATCCACAGACCTTAATGGCAGGGTAGATCATTAAGCTTGCATATTTTGATGTTTAAAAGTCCTGTTGTTTATGTCTAAGCTGTTATTTACCAGGGAAACTTGGATCAGTGTAACATTCATATATTAAAAATTACCCCAAACGCCTGCTGCAATCCAGTGACTCCAAATTCAATTAAAGGCATTTTTCTCAATCTTAAAAATATTTTCCTTCTTTGTTTTGTGTAATAAGCCCTTGAGCAATTTGCTTCCTTAACGAAATGTTATTTTCCCCAGTGTCTGCAGACACTGGTTTGTTATTACTAGGTTACTGGCATTAATCTTAATGATTAAGTTAAAAAAACAACACAGCTTAAAAAAAGATGTATAGGGGTTTGTACGAAATACTTTATGAACTGTTAAGGAAAAAAACAGGCAAATAAAATTTTGGTTATCCATCTCTGACAAAGTTACTCCAATGTTTTTCTTAAGAATGAAAAGTGATATAATAATTGACAGCGAGCCCAGCCTCAACAGCAGTGTTTTTAATTCACAGTTCAGAGTCCTCCCTATTCTTATGTACCTTTCACATTCCAGTGTTACTCAGCATGCCAAAACCGTAAATGCCTCTGAGCCCCTGAAAGTTCAGATTTTGAGCCCAAGATAGCTCTGATGGAAGACATTTGCCAGAAACAATAAATTCTTTAAAGAAGAGCTTCTTAATGGTGAGGCAATAACTGCTGAGCATGTGGCTTACTGATACATAATACCCTTCATAAACATTAGAAAAGGAAAAAGGACATAGTAGAAACTGTCACGGTGGAGAAGGCAAGATGTCCCAGTGATGGGGCTCTGTACTGAAAGGACACATGGTTCTACTTCTCTCTTGGCTGCTGACCCACCAGTTCACCTCTGAGGAGGGAGTTCACCTCTCTGGGTCATTACCCTTCTCTTCTTACCATAGACCTGACCACAAGCAGCTTTGATGATAATTGCAATGAAAATAACCAAAAGAATCTGACTGGTTAGTTAGAGTTTGTAGAAAGCCAAATTTTAAACCCATGGTCTTTGGAAGAGATTCTTCCATCCGTTTTCATGAGAGGGTACCTTGTTTGAGCATAGGGTGAGGAGATGTGTGAAGCAGTCTGTGACAACTTCATGGTGCTGGCCTTCCTTTCCCAGCCGCACACAGCACCCTTTGGGACAGTCGAGTCACAGGGTGGCAGAAATGGGATCAGAAAAGAGATTGTGGATATGAGAATACCAAAGGACTTTCAGGAAATGAGGAAATCTGATAAGAATACAGAGACTGGTATTGTCTGCTCAGATTGCCCTTGACATTCCTGGCAAGAGATTTCCTTAAACTTAGGAATTAGGAAACTTTTACAAAGAGCAATTCCTTACTTAAAATGACAAATAAACTAAGATAGATAGATCTAAGAGGACTTGCCTAACTTTGCTTTTCAGACCAGCAGCATGATTGTGAAGATATTCCAATTTCTGATGGCCAGCTAGTTTTGTATTTACTATATCATACAGGCTTTAGATTTCAAGTGGTCATATCATAAAAATGTTCCCTTGACTCCCTGATTACAATCTGATAGCCAACTAGAGAAAATAAACAAATCAGTGAAAGACACACACACAAGTTAAAAAAAAATTAACTTACACAATTATCTTCTGCTTTGTATTTATATTCCACTTCTTTCACATTTTTCAAATTCAGCGTCTTTGCTCTGTAACCAATACACAGAGAAAATCTGTAAGGCAAATCCTTAGTAGTCTTGAACAGAAACAGGAAGAGACACGTGCCAAACTACAGCAGAGAAGTTTAAAGTTGGGACAATGCAATATGTCTATATTTTTGTACATATAGAGCTTATCTTTTCTGATAATCCAGTTAAAGAGTAAAAACTCATTTTAGAATTATGATATATCATTTGAAAATATGAATAATGAAAGTCTCTGGTGAATAAAATCTCAATTTTCATTTTCATTTTCTTAATTTTAATTTTCATTACTGTTTTGTAGCTGGCCAGAGAGCTATTCTCAAACCAAAGTAGCTCATATATAATCGATAGCATCAAAAGTAAAGAGATTTAATTAACATTTTTTACCTGCAAAATCATAACATAAGGAAAACAGAAATAAATGTCTTGAATAGCTGCGGGTCATGAAAAATAAAGACTTTTGTTTGTCATTAAAATTGACACATTTTTGTATGATGAAGAACACTGCACTCTAGCTATCAAAATGGGGGACTTAACAGGAAAGGGCCAGTATCCCTATGCCGTCTACGCAGTCTGTGGAAAGAGAAAGTTGCCTTGGAAAGGCAGCTCAGTGTAGGTGAGTGTAGGTGTAGGTTGTAGTTTGACCTTCAGTGTAGGTTGACCTTCTTCTTCAATGCAGCATTTGCAGGAACACAATTTACTGAAGAAGACTATCAAATTAGCTGTTATCTGAGCTCTGTGCCTAAAGCTAGGCAATGGAAATAATCCCAGAATACAAACATTTAATAGATGCGTCAGTGTGAAAGAGTATTTGCAGGTATTGAGGCTGGCTAAATGAGCCTTGCAAAAGTCAGCTGTTCTCTCATCTTTGCATAAATTAGGCTGTAGCTGCTGCTGGTTTTAATTTACATTCTGATACGTGACATGTATCACATCCAATACTCTGGCATCTGAACAGAAACTTCTCAATAAATAATCTAAGATATTTTACTTGCTTCACTTCTGCTAATGCTTTTGCTCATGACTGCATGGCTTACTACATATTGTCTCACTAACCACATCTGCACAGTACAGATTTTAAGGCTGCTACCTCGTTCAGTGCCTTTAGATGGTGTGAACAATCACATTCAGCTTGACTGAAGAACACAGAAATCACTGGGAAGAGTGCAGGTTCAGACTGAGGTCTCTGTTAGATCAGGCAACAGAGGATCATGCTCTTTTGTGTTAGATATCCCTCCCTTTCTGCTGTTGGAGAACCTCAAACATTCAGGTCCAGGGTAAAAACATGAAAACTTGCATTTTGCTTTACTAGCAGAATTTACCAAAATTTTAGCTTGCTGAATAGCAGAAGTTTACCACAAAGGTACTGATTGATTCAAGCAGAGATCATCTTCCATAATTTTTAACTGCCTTGTAATTTTGAACTATTTTCATGCTGGTTCTGCAACTTATTGCAAGAGAACAGAGCTGTGCACAAATGGCTAACACCATTAACTTTAACAAGCATTTAATCAAGCTGTCTATATTATGCTTAATTTCAGTGGGATTCAATGTTCATGCAAACAACTGCATGCAAGCAGCAAGTCGTTTCCAGGTCTGGTGATCTGTGAATTAATTCTGTAGCACAAATCAATCATGAACCTCAGCTGATATATTCTCTTTACTGATGATACAAAGTAGCAACTGTAATATAAGAACTTCTGATTACTCTAGTTTATTTGTTCTGGCTTTTCTAGTTCATAAACAGAACAGATACTTTTTATTAGATATTAGAATAGTTGTGCAATTATGTTTCATTAATCTCTATTAGCAGTGCAAATGTCAACCACCAACTCCTGTGCAACATAGTACCTAGGAGTTTATAAAGGTGCTTAGAGTTCCTAAGGCTTGCCATAGTTTCTCATTAAGGACCAAATAAATATCTAATGGAAAAAAATTATATTATTAATCTTTCTATTGATTTTTTCTACCTTCACATAATGAATCATACAGATGTGTAATAATAAGAGAAATCACAAAATAATGCCATTTCATAAAATGTTGTAGAGATCCTTAGTCTATGGTAAACGCACGGGTGTGACTTTTCCTTTTGACTTGTCTTATCTTGTAATTTTCTGCAACTAAAATACTGAATTCAGTATACCATATCTCCATCCTGACTATGAATCAATAGGCAGAAAGAAAACATAATGGTGTGCTAGTAGAACATTCCAATAAATTGATTCTTACCTGGAAAATTGATTCTTACCTGGGAAAGCGGAAAATCACAATTACTATAGTGCAGACAACACCATACAACAGTCCCACATTGGCAGCAAAGCATATTGTAAACACGTAGGTACTAACCCATATGCTCTTGAAGGAGGGAAGGAAAAGAAGTGATTAGTTTTAAATTTCATAGCAATGTGCATTTTATGAATGAGAAAAAAGACTTTTAAAACTAAGATAGTTTCTCAGATGTGAACATTTGGATCTTTGAACTGGCAAATACTGAAGACTGAATTAGCAATTAAAGTAATGCCTCCCCACGGGAGACCACGTGGAACATGGCACTACTGATCACAGAGATTCCTTCCAGAGTTACTTAAAATAGCATATGTACTTGTGCTAACAGCATAAACAGACTGAACTGCAGTTTTGTAAAACCTGTATTTTATATCTCACATTGCAAGTTCTGCCACTTTCTTGACTGCACAGATTTTAAATCCTCCTTTCCTTTCACACAATGAGAATGTACCCTAATGAGGTCACATACAGAGCGCTCTTCTCCCACTAATGTGGGAATTATAATTTGCAAGGAGGCTGATTAAAAGTGTTGCTTATCGGAGTAAAGCTGACTAAAACAATTCTATAAAAAAAATTACTGGGGAATGAATTCCTTCCCAAAGAAATGGTGAGATTTCATATTACTTCCCCACCTTTCAGTATTTGATTACTAAAATTTTGGATTCATCTTAAATTAAAATTAAAAAAATATACAAAAGCATATCTGAAACTAAAGTCACTTTGAAAAGAAATTTAAAATATTTTTAAAAAAAAACTTAAAAAAATTAACATTTCATTTATTAAAATTATTCTCTTACCAGAAATTTTCATTTTTATTTCCATACTACAATGATGTGTATAGCTGAGAGATACCCAGATTTTACAATTAAAAGAAGAAAAGTACAAATTACTCGATTTCTTATACCAACCTAATTGGTACAATAAAGCACAAATTTCTTTCCTTGGGGGAGCCTTAAGCAAAGACTGCCACCTAATCTTTATATAAAAGGTGTTAAAGAAGAATGGAAATTATTTTCACTCCTCTCAATATCCTGATCCCCACAGGTGCCCATTTCAACAATTACTTCTTGTAGTGCTTCTTGTTCATGTTTGCAGAATAACAGATCACATTACAATGAAACGATCAATGTTAATATTATCCTTTCTGATGCTTTTACTTAACTCATGAAAGCCAGAGACAATAGAACACTTTCAGCCTAACCACAGGAATTTTGCTTGAGCAGATTTCAGAACTGTTATTTTATGAATTATAAAACGTAAGTCATACTGTACTAATTTGTGCTTCACAGAGGACAGTGTTACATGATTCTATCAAGAAACCTTTCCCTCCCTCAACTTCAAGATTCCTAATTTCTGCAAAAGGTTTTGCAATCTCTTCAACGGCACAGCTGCTAGATAAAGAGGCAGTTCATTGAGACTCCTCAATCACCAGTTGTATTTTAACACGATATCTTATACAAATTGTTGTGTGTATATTTGCAAAAATACCTTTATGAGCAACAGATATGAGTTTTAATTAACCAGTAAGAAAGTAATGCTAAGATTTACAAAGCCAATGTTTATTTTTAAAGGAGCTCACTGGACATGAAAGGCTAACAAAAATACCACAAACCTGAAGTTCAGGTGGGATCAAGAATTAGCCTATCCTGATAAGGCTGAACCTTTGACAACACCTGAATCCACTTCAGTGCAATTCACTTCAGCTGCAGACCTGAGCCTCATCACATCTAACTAAATCAGTGCTGCTAGACCTGCAAAATTCTTACATCTCAGAAGAAAACATGAAAACCCAATACAAAGTCTGCATAGGAAAAATAAAAGCAAAAAATGTTTAAGTACTGCTGAGTACTGAATAAGCTAGCTGAGTGCCTCTCTAGCAGCCTAGTATCTTACATCTTAAATGTAATCAGAGACTGCCATTGATGTAGAGGTTGAGCCAAAACAATTATATTCTCATTAGTCAATCACCATTTCAGTGCTTTGTACTGGCCTGGAGTCAGTGCTTCTTTAGTTAGTGTAGCATCAAACTTGTAGAAAGAAGTTATGTTGATCTGATAGACTTTTTTTATGGGCTATTGCAAGGTTCATCAAAGAAGTCATAAAAATATTAAAGTTTTCTTTGGCAACTTACTTCAAGATGGTTAGTGCATAGTCCAGGACAGATAGAACCTAATCACTCTTCAAATCTTAGCAACAATGTGTTACAGACACCTTATTCTCAAAAGTCAAAACAAAATCCACCTTCAAAGTATCTTTGTACTGTACTAATTTAAAGAAAAATTCTAAAGAGGGAGCAAAGAAACAAGCAGAAGTAATGGACTTATGTTGACTCCTGTATATATGAGAAAGTATCAGAAGCATTGAGAGGTGCAGTGACTGTGTATATAGCAGCTGCCTCCATCTGGACTTTTCCATCTCATAGGATCTAATCACCCACCGTTGAGGAGCTTCTGAAAAGGGAACTTGGTGGGAAAAAAGCATGTAAATAAGTTGTAGAACACTTTCTGAACCTAGGGCTAAACTATGCAATGCTAAGGTATGGTGAAATAAATGTTTCTCTACCACTTTGAAACCAGATTATAAACTTCCCTTTTTCATTGCAAACTGAGACAATCAGCTATTGCCTGAATGGGTAGAATTCCTCTCACTTGGCATTAACTGTCAGCAGCTCAGTTGTCTAGTTGTCTAGTTTCCTAGCAGATTTGGTTATCAGAGTGAGGAGGATTTAGGATGCATCTTGCTTAACTCCTACCTGATTATGCTGTTGCTTACTTGAGGAAGAGATGAATCATACCCTAACATGACTTGGCTGACCAATTCTGTACTATCTGTAATGTGAGGCTGTGATGACTTGCTCAAAGAGAGAGGCCCATGTTGCCATCACCATCATGTAGCCAAAAGAAGAATCCCATTAAAGTCCTACTCATTCAGGAAGTGTCTCAGCAGGGAAGATGCTGGAGTCCTGGAGGAAGCTCTGGCTCTAAGGAGGCTGAGTGACATGACCCTGCTCCCACGTCCTTCTGCAGACAAATGATTGATACTGGCATTCATCCCCAGCACACCCTTCACCAAAACTTATGATTCAAGGGCTGAAGTGAAAACCACCAGACATAGAGCAGAAACTGCTTAATGCACTTAGCGACATGGTTTAGTGGTAGACTTGGCAATGCTGGGTTAATGGTAGGACTAGATGGTCTATAAAGGTCTTTTCCAGCCTAAATGATCCTCTGATAATAAAGTGGTATGGTAGTCCTTTAATATAATTTTTCACAAGTATTTCATACACAATGGTTAAGACAGTATTTTTTTTCAAACAGCCCTGGAGACAGAAGAACTGATACAAATATTACTCTTTAAAAATTATTTATGTGGCAAGCATACTTTCAATGGATTAAGCATTTGCAAATTCCTTGCCACCCCACTGAGATCAACTACAGCACAAGTAATATAATTCAGAGTAGCATATTCACTAATGCAGGAAAAATAGAAAATCTCCCTAGGATGTCATAAGCTAAAAGCATGGATGGAAAATTATTCTCACAGAAGAGATGGTTTCCTACCTTGCAGAAAATTGTTTATATAGCAAAGTCCTCAGAGCTCTTAGAGCACTCTCATGAATCAGGACCCATGTGTGACAAATCTAAAAGGCCATCTCCCTCCTGAGGATAATAAGTTAAGAAGTTCTAAAAAAACCAAGAAATTACACTAATGAACTCCAAAATTTCAAGAAAGACCCTCCCTGGGCTCTCTTCTCTAAATATTTTGACAAAATATATTGAAAGAGTGGTGGATCCACGTCTCAGAAACTCACACTGGCAAGATCTTGGAGGATGCTTGTCAAAAATGAGACCCTCCTTGTTGGATCTACTTTAATTTCTGAATTAGTAGCATTCTTTACATCCTTAAATATTATTATATGTGCATGTACTTACAATTCATGTATCAATAACTGCCTCTCACATCACAACACCTTGCAGGGAATGTGTAATTTTTACCATAAATTCTTGCCATTCTTCCTGCTTTATGAATCATGAAGCTGGCTATGTCTCAGCTGTGGTCATTTTGTGGTCAAGTCATATGTGCAACCTTAAAACAGTTTTTTCTCTTTAAATGCCAGAGTATTTCCCAACTTGCAATGTGAGATATAAAATACAGGTTTGACATAGAATTCCCCAGATCCATGCTATATAATTAACTTATAAAAATAATCCTTATTCTATTGTCATTTTTCACTTAGAGCATCACCTTCTGAAATATTTTTTCCCCATCCTTGGTCACTTTCAAGTCCAATTATTAACAGCAAAGAAAATATTGTTCTTCAACAGTCCATTTTCAGGCAGTAGTTTTTGCCTAGCTTAAAAGGCAGCTCAGCAGATGCTGAGCCTTAAAATCAAGAGTTAACAAGAACTTTATTGGCCTTTTTATTGATTCTAGCAAAGTGCACTGTCAAGCTGGAGAATAAAAAGGCAAGTTAGTCAAGTTGGCCCGGATTAGGATTTAGGCTTGCAGGGCGGATATGGAAATCAACTTTTGATCTCAGGACCTGAGAAGTGAGATATACTCACAGACAAATATCAGATCAGCTTCCTGATAGTTCCCCAAAAAAAGAGGAAAAAAAATCAGGACAAATCACTCCCAGTGCGATAGTGAAATTATTAATCTGCGATTGTTGAAGTCATCCAACCAAGAAGGTGTAGGGACTGACAGAAGACCTTAACTGAAGTGATGCCTCAGAGCTTTTTAAGGCAAGAGAAGCAAGAGACATTTGAAGTTCACATGGATGCTGTGAATGGCAGGAAAGAGAACTCTGGAATAAGGACAGTGGGGTACTATCTGGAAAGCAATTGAATGTGATTTGAGAGGCAGGTTGTAAAACAGGACATCTCTGAGAGCTGATAAAAAACAAGTCAAAAGAAAACTGAAACAAATTTATGCAATAATATTTGGTATTGGCTACTAAAGTCTGTCAGCCTAGCTGCTTATTTGAACTCAGCTGATCCTAAACACTAAATCTGAAAGGAAAAGCCATCCATAGCTAAAAGAAGAAATTTCGTAGAAACACAGAATATCCTGTGATGGAAGGAATGAATGAAGATCCTCAAGTCCAACTCCTGAACAGTACCTTTCGAGCTGAACCTTTAATATTTAAAAGGATTATGTTTATAAAGAACTAATCAACAAGAAAATGTTATTCATCCCATTTGTGTTCAATGAGAAGCTTAAGGAAGTGTGAAGAAAAAAGGCAACAAACACCGTAATATTCTGTTTCCATGCACTATCATTTGCCAGACTTATAAGCAAAACAAACCTGACTTCAATGCTACATGACACACACCCTTCAAAGAATCAGCTCCAGAAAGGACAACTGCTAATTATTTCCAAATATTTTGTTAGAGTTTCTATCTTCAAAACACTTTGGATAACCTGGGTGATTGAATAATTCATTTCCAGTGTTCTGTCAATTGCTGCAGTGAATCTTTTCAGGCCGAAATAACACCAGTGTAGTTGTACAAATCACTGGGCTTGGTGGGGCTCCTCAGAGCAGGCAGCAATGCAAGATCAATGTTTATAGCCTTACTTTAAACTATTCTATTTAAAGCAAGATGATTTACCCTGTCAAGCTAAGGACTGATGGTGCAACTACTTGAAGATAAATCATTGTTCAAGTATGTTCAGTCAAAAAGATGAACCCAGCAAACTCCCCCTTTCTATAAACTCTCTTAGAAATGATAGACATCAGAGAGGTAATAACTAACTACTCACTCAGCCTTTTCTGCCAAAACCAGAAAAGCAAAAATCAATCAGGCAAGTCTAAATGTGAAGATGCATCAAATCTAGTGACATTGCAGAATATCCTGCTGGAAAACTTAACTACTTATTGTCTCAGTGCACTGATAGAGAAGATATATCTCTCTCCCGTAACTACCAATTTTCTTAAGTCCATTGTAGCCAAAATAATTCTTGATCCACATCATCCACCATTTCTGTTGTTGGCAATATGTGTTAAACTGAAGATCAAATACAGTACAAGTGATAGAAAATATTTTCAGAATTTTACTGCTTGAGGAGCATAAGATTGCATGAAAGACAGAGCTTTTCTTCTGGCTGATACAAAAAAACCCCACCAAAACCAACAAACCAAACAAAAACCAAAAACCTCTAAAACATTTGTGACTAAATGTGAAAAAACTCACATAACCAAAATTGACGTTGTTCAGACAGATCTATTTCCCATACTTAAATCCAGTACCCCATTAAAAAAAACATTTTACTCAGTCTAAATGATTAGTCAGACTTAACCATTACTGCTGTAAAGTCACCGGTGAGTTCATCAAAGCCCAATATTAACTCCAGTAAACTGTATCTTCTACCACAATATTGTCAAAATATCTTTCTGAATATTAGTTGCCTTAAATATATGGGATGTCAGTATATATGTACCTATGAAAGTGCCTAGAAGTTTTGGTTCCACTAACTGGCCAATACATTCAAAAACTCCCACAGAGGAGAAATCCAGGACTTTTCTCACACATGGATTTGTCTTTACTATTCACTAGGAATTTTGTGCAAATTCTGTCAGACTATTCAGACTTTGTATTAAACTAGATTTCTGATGTATTCTTCCCCTCATAGCACAGAATCTTTCGTTATGATTGAACAATAGATATTCTGTTTGCAAAATCTGAAAGAGTTAAGGCAATTTACCTACAACAACCCCTCAACACGTATCTCTCTGCATCCCCAGTGTTTCCAGTTCTGTTTTTTCCTGTATGGTCATTCCATGTCCCCAGAGGACAAAGATACCCAAATCTCTCCAATATTACTACAGTAGCAAAAGCTTATGTCAACCAGATAGAGAAGGCATAAAAATTAAACACATATTTGCACACATTAACCTGATTGGTCTGTATACACATTGCTAGCATTAAATTAGGTTTGATTATTTATCGTTTGCTAAAATGCCATTTTTTAATACAACTGATATTAGAGATGCTGTTATTCTGAGCCAATAGTACACAAAAATACTAATGGCTTGCACTTACATCTTCTAGGGTCACAGAACTATTAAAGTTTATTTATTAGGTATTTGTTAAAAAGTCTCAGGAAAACCTCCTTAGATTAAGTTTGACTTACCCAGTCTATTTTATCCACATTCCAATATTTTTTTAAGTCACAGAACTGCATTAGCATCCCCTTCAAGCCCACAACAATAATGCTTGCTAAGACACACTGCAAAGACATAAAAGAATTGCAGAATTGTAAGTGAAAACAAATGCTCTTTCTTTTATTTAGCAGTCAATGTTATAATGAAATTATAAAAAAATGGTTAGTGTTTCTAAAACAGGATAAGCACAGGTGTCCTTGTGACATAAACACTAAGAGCTCACCCCTGTTTTGTTGGGGTTTTTTGTTTGTTTGTATGTTTGTTTTGTGAACGCAATCTATGGGCCACCTAATCGTGAGAAAAATTACAGAAATTTCAGGACTACCCAAGACTCTCCATGTGTCACCAGTTCAGCTACATTCTCCCATAGTCTGAAGTACTCACAAGCAAATCAACATTCTACTTCTACACAGTGAAGAATTTTAATTCCTCTTCTTCACTTCCTCTCCTTCCCCTAGAGAAGGCCTCTAGGGCAAAAGCCCATCAATTTTGAAGCAAAAAAAAAAAAATTTGTTGTTCTCTGAATCAAAAAAGAGGAGGATATGGATGATGGATGATCTACAACCAAAAAGAATGGAGTACAAACCAATGAACTTGCAGTGGGTAGGTGGGGAGGGCTGAAAAAACATATTAGAAGAGAAATAAAGTATCAAGAAAGCAACAATCAAAAAGTATATTTTAAATATGGGAAAAAATGCCTACTGGAAACCAGTCAAAATTGACATATAATCCATTTTAAAAAATTAAAGTAGGGCAGTAGGAAAGTAAAAAAAAAAAAAAAAGTAAGAAAGTAAAAAAAGGACATACTGTACACCCCTCTTCAAGTGTCCTTACTTTGCATGCTTAAAATAAGCTATAAAAGGATCTGTTTGAAAAGTGAGAACTTTCATGACACCATGTAAACAATAGCATAAAGTAAATTTAAAACATAGTTGAGCTAAAACTTCATGTAGAAACATGGCAAAATTGTGGACAGTTTTGGAGCTGTATTTTGCAGCTTTGACATACCTCTAGTTAAAATTAACCATTAATTTGTAATACCAAAAGACAAACATAGCTTATGTGAAAAGATGCCACACTGTTTTATAGTCTTAACATAGAAGATGTATTCCATGACAGAGATATAAGAATACTTCATAATCTTTCTATAATTAAGCTTAGATCACTATCTAAAATAATTTGTGTCAAATTTATTTGAAGAGCAAAGTCATGTATCATATGCATACCTGGAGAAATATTGAAAATCTTTATTAATTTCTAGCACATTTTGTCAGTTTACAAATCCACAGCAACTTGGCTGTATGTTTGTCATAAATTACAGGCCAAAAGTAAGTAGAAGAGAAATGCACTTTTTTTTAATTTACTTATGTGATAGCCTATATATGCAACTATACATGTGTAAAATCTATATGTCTTATGTTGTCACGTCTGTATTTTATGATTTGGAGACTTACTGTGCCCTTACTATCCTTTCCCCCAATGACATTGAATAGAGCTGTTTTAGAGGTAGCACTGCCTTTCCCTGAAAAAAATTTTCATTAGAAAGTGTTTGACATCTTAATCTTTAAAAAAGATAAGTACCGTACCATAGGAAGCCAGTACAGCAGAGGTCCGATTGCATAGATCACCACAAGAATTAGTACACAAGAGATAAGGCAAGCCATCTAAAACAATAAACAAGAAATGAAGATCATCAGACAAACAACCACCAAAAAAAATTGTGAAAAGAATTAATTATAAAATTTTGTAGATAGAGTCAAGAATCAGATGCTGAAGATGTTAGCTCTTAACATATCTGTGAATTGCAGATGCACGTAATTTCAGTTTTAATATCTGGTGACTACCTTCAACCAGCTACAGTGAAAACACAATGAGAAATCTCGACATCTGTGCTTGACCCTGCTACCAGCACACAGACACAGAGCAGAGCATCACTTATGCACTTGGTTATTAAATGGAGCATGTGTGTGCAATATCTCATCCCAGAAGTTTCTTAGCACCCAGTGTCATTCTGTAACATATTTATAGCCATGCACCCTATGTTGCACTAAATAGCAGATCTGTTAGAGCACTAAGCAGAAGTTATGTATGTTGTCATTTTTGCAGAAGACATTTAACTTCTTTTACTGGAATTAACACTAAGAGAAAAGTATTGTGTTAAGTCAAAAACCACTAATGATTTCATGTTAATATCAGTGGACTTGACTTTAGAAAATGTGAGTACAGTTTTTAAAAATATTTTAAAAATCATAATTAATGTAGGTAAAATTAATCCAGAAAAATATATGGTCTAATAATTATATGCTTCTTCACAGTATTTATGGTATTAATCAGATTGAAAACTACAGTAAAATTGCACTGTCCTACTCCACTCTGAGTGTTCACTGAGTTCTTCTGCTCTTATAAAGATACAGTTCAGATTCACAGGTTTTTGATAAGTAGACAGATGCTCACTTTAAATTTATATCGATAATATGTTTCTTTACTAAAATAATTAGGTTTCATTTTAAGAGACAAGTTGTTAAAAACAAAACCAGACAAGTTGCTAAAACACTAGAAAATTAAAGTCATGGTGTACTTAAAAATACCATCAAGAAAGATAGACAGAGTGTTTACAGAAAAAGGGACAGAAAATCTGCTGGTGAAGTCACAAGGAACTTTTCCCTCCTTCTGCCTTCACAAACAGCAAGCAAAAAAAGTGTTGATTCTGTTTGAAGGACACTTCTAGTCCCTCACTTCTGTTTTCTCCCAGGAAAAGATATCACTGAAGAACAAATGGCAAAACTGAAACCCAGGTATAGCCATTTGAGAAAAAAGGGCAGTTCTGTGCCTCTGAAAGTCTCTTTGCATTACTTCCATGGCCTATGCTAAGCTCATTTGTCTCTATGTAATCAAAGCAACCCCTCTCTCTTCTTTTTGCCTATGACTTGACCAACATTTACAAGTGATGTTCTTCTCATCTCTTCTTTCTGCCTAGGCAGCCACAAAGAGGAGGATCGAGTGGATGTGTTGCTTTCCAAAAAAGAAGGCAGGAGAGAGATTGTTACATTTATTGAAGTACTCTCATAGCCATACTCTAACTTTCAGATGCAGGCTCTGCTATACTGTGAAACCAATGTATAAAACAAAGCAGATTTTTGCCATGCATCTCCTACCTTGAAATCAAACTATGGTGGTTTCTTTTTCCATTTCATGTATTGAATAACCTTCTATCAGGGCCTTTGCCTACATGTACCAAAGCCAAAGTGCTCAAACACCCTATATGCCTTCAGGTTATAGGTTTTCAGGTGTAGGTCTCCAGTTTTCCTTAAATCTTCCTTGAAAAAGCCAGCACAACATGATGCAGTACAACTGCAAACTGTACAATCAGTACATTGACAGGTTGCAGAAGAGGATGTCTATAAGGATGAGGGCACAAGACACGGCATTGAATACAATGAAAATATATGAAATAACTAATAACAAGTGGTAGCTAAACTATTTGCATATAAATGCTTTTCAAGATTATTATTTATTAGATTATTCATTATGATTACTTGAGTTAGGAGTACCCTGTAGGCTAATTAGCAAGTAATTGACATGTAGATTTTTGAAGTAAAGCCCTGTATAATTCCTTAGTATTGTGACATCTGCATGTGAAATAATTGCAGGACATGGTCAAGAAGAAACAATACCTATGGATTGTACTTAGCCTTTTCAGTTGTACCTCATTAGCTTTTTCCTTGCAGCTAATGGCCTTTATACAGGCAAGAGCAACAGTTATAAAATTACAATAGAATTGTAGAATTGTTAAGGTTAGAAAGGACCTTTAAGGTCTTCAAGTCCAACCATCAACCTAGAACCACCACCATGCTCGCTATTAAACCTAAAAACCTCAGTTTAGGCTGTACTACTAAATCCATTAAACACCATTGGAGGGCACTTTTGTTACACTGCTGACAAATTCACATAAACTGAAAGGGCTTTTACATAGCTTTCTGCAGCCTGAAAACACAACTCCTAACCTCCTTGATGCCACACGACCTGACAGTTTATATTGAATTAAGCAGGTAAAAATGAGTAAGTTGGAACCATTAGCTTTCCTAGGAAGACATTGCTGATCAGATGCAATTTCATGCAGATTGTTAAAAATGACAGGGCAGAGTCATTCCCAGGACAGAGGAGAAGGGATAATAGGGAAACACAATGCACAAATCAGTACAAGTTCCAGTGAGCAGTATTACAGTTTTAATTCTCTGACTTGCTTCACTCTAACCTGTTACCTGTGTTTTGGCGCCCGTACTGTACAAAAGTGCGGTCCGTCCCATCGCTGCAGCACTTGGTATGCAAAAGAAAAATGAAGGAATCACGTTGCTGAGGCCATGAGCCAAAAATTCCTGCAAAGTTGTTAAACAGAAGATGTTTTTTTCCTATTGTTCTGTCATTTCAATGCCTCTTGCCAACAAAGGAGTCCCCAATGTAAATAACTGATAAAGGATGGGCATATTTTTGAAGGAAAAAAATCACATATGTTCATGAAAAAGGATTTCCCAACAGAATATATCTTCTCACAACTCAGAATTAATTTGAGTGATAGAGCTGCTGAACCAGATTCATCAAAAGCAGGAGGCATATTTTGTTCACACAATAACGCTATTGCTAAATTTTGAAGACAAAGTTCAACCAAAATATTTACATCTTGATCTACATCTGCCTTTTAACTGGCCAGAGCCCCAGATAGTTATATTTGGAGAGTGACCAGATCATTTCTGGCTTATGACTCTACTGGATAAAGACAGACACTGATTTTGTTTCTTTTGGAGGATGTTTTAGTGAAAGTGAAGTGTGGTAGCCATACTATTTGCATGCTGTCTTTCATCACAAATGTATTTGGTGTTTGTTCACAGTCAAAATGTAGACACGTCTGACCAAAGAAAAAGTGGAGAAGCCACCTTGTACATCCAGCCTAAGCTGAACAGTGTTTTCTAAGGAAGCATTCCTGCTTGGCCACCCAGCATCAGTCTTCTTCCCAGACTGTTTGAAGCATACTGGTCTGCTGAGGAAAATGTGTTAGAAAAGACCTCAGAAGTGCTTGGGCCACAAATGGTACTATATCCAGCCAGGAGAATACCTGATCATAAGTTTATCTTCACAGCACAGCACAGTACCTCCTAAAAGCTTCCCAGGCAGCCTCACACACCCCCTCCCACATGGCACCGTGCAGAGCGCTGTGCCTGGCCCCTGGCTGCAGTACAGCCACACCACTGCTCTCTTCTCATGGAGGTTTTGCTCTTTTGCTCCATTATTCAGTGCAGACGTACACATAGTTTCCAAGGCTTCAGTAATTAGCTGTGTAAGCTACAAGACTTCCAAAGTTGCAGGAAGACATACAGGTTGCTGTGCTCCATTGAGTGCCCTTGAAACAAAGCAGCATGTCACTGTGAAGTCTGGCCTGTGTTAAGCTCAAAGCATTTTCCTGCTGCTCCCTAGAAAACATGGCTCTGAAGCATCAACAGAAATTCATGGCCCAGTGTATTCATACTGAAAAATATTTTAGAGACCTGAGTAGGCAAAACCATTCCCACTATAATTTCCAATGACATAAGAGTTGTAAAGCAGAGGAACTGATGTAGCAAGACTGACCTGTCTAAATAGGGGGTTCAAATAGACCTCCAGCTGCAAAGCCAACCCTATGTCATTCATCCCAAATCACTTAACAAAAAGGTGGAGGCAGCGTTTTCATCACACGGTACTATTGCCAGTTATCTGCAATTGAGCATTTCTTACCACAGTGCTTGAATTATTGTCTCCACGGATTTCCAGTTGACTTGGAGTTACCCACCCACCATGACAAGCAATGTAGTGTAGAAATAATGGCCCAGTTTTATTTAAGTGTGTCCTCTGTAAAGTGGAAATCTGAAAAGAAAGCTCCTATGGCTGTAAATTTGGCAGCACTCTCTGAACCCACTCTGCTTCTTTTGTACAAATAAACCTTTATTTCAGATGAGACTTCTACTTCGCATAAAATAACTTCCTTTTATAACATCAGATGTGTCCTGGGGCTTATAAGTACCTGGTTTTGTTTTAGAATTGCTTTGTTTCATTAATCAGTGGCTGATTTAACATCATAATTTGTCTTTAAGAGCTCACCTGCCAGAGGAAAAGCTGTCTCACCTTAGAGCAGTGAAAAATGCTTTGTTGTCCAAATGCTGCACCAAATGTAGTCTTACAAGACTATCCTGAAGGATGTGCTTCCCTAAAAGAAGGCCTTAACCAGCGAGGGTGTTCTGCAGAGATGATCTGAACAAGATTTGGGTGTTTCTGTAATCACTAGAAGGCGTCAGATGCCATAGGGAACATACCCTTTCCTACTGAACATTCATCTATAATACTTTTCCAAAATGACAAAGTGATGTCAAGGCTTGGTGACAGGAAGGAGAAAGAGCTTTACCTGGTTGTCATCCACAGTGTATTTAAACTTTTTAGCGGAGCCTTGAGCAAGAGCTAGTGAGGCCACATAACCAACCAGTGCTACTCCAAAAGCTTCAGTGACTACTTCAGGCAGGACATTCATGGGTGGCATTTTCGGTGATGGCAACCTATAAAAAATAAAGACAAGAATTTTTTCAAAACTTGATGCATAGTCTCTATAAACCTGCAATTCATGGAAATACAAGGAAAACGATCTCTGCTTGCATGGCTAATTTTTCTGCTACTTGTAAGGTGACACTTTTCAATATTTTAGATTAATAAGATCTCAATCTGTTGGGAACTGCAGAAGAGAATTTGTAGAAGAAGATAAAACAGCTTCAGATGGAGTATTCAATTTAATTCCCTCACTGAGAGATAAAATCAGCAACCATTCACTAATTTTTTAATGTTCAGTAGAAGAGACCCTATTGTATTTTTTTTTAATATTTGGCTTTCCTGTAAAGTTTAATTTAAACCTTTTAAACAATTTCATATCCTGTAGGTAATGGACAGTATGGACATTTATTTCATCTAATGGAGACCTTCTAATGGGGACTGCTACAAAACAACAAATCACCCTAAAAAGACTTTGTTCTCTCCAGAGCACAAATCATACCACCTGAGAAACAAATTGTGCTCTTAAGGTTTCTGATGCTCTTCATTGGCAAGGCAGTTAGATATTTCAGGTAAATGACTAAAAATACACAGGAATGATTCAGGCTCTGCTTCTGTTTTTCAGCACTACTCGCATGAAGTCAGACAGAAAATAAATTCCTGATTAAAGCTGCAATAATACAATTTACCTGTTCATTACACATTGAAGGGGCACACTTTGCCCTGTTTTAATCTCAGATTCATAGCATGCCCTAAATACTTAAAACCAGTTTTTGTTCTCAGAAATGTCCCTTGTTTTATTTCTATCAGTGCAAACTACCACACAGGCACTTACGATATCTTGAACTTGTACTTTGTGATATTTAGGGAAATCCTGCAATATCCAAACAGGATACACAACAGCTGTGCTTTTCCATAACAACCTGTAGAGTTTGAACATTTTGTCTGAAACCTAATCTCATTTCTCTTTCCAGCCACTTATACTGATTTTTTTTTTTTGCCTTCTTTCAAGGTCATGGAGAAAAGTGTATCACTAACTGTAGTAAAAATGCTCTTTTTTAGATTAAACATAATTAAATCCTTCGCATTTCCTCAGAAACTGCATTGTCTAAAATTACTATATGAAGAATGAAGTGTAGTAATTGATAAATCTTATTGCAAGTCCTTTCTGCTACAACAGCCCAAGGCAACTCTCAGAAAGCAGCTTGCAATAATCTTGTAGAGAGAGTTCTGCCCTTCTCTCATATATCAAGTATTTAGTGCCTACTTTTTATTCCATAAAGTCATAAAAAGCTATGAAAATGTACAAGAATACATTTTTGCAATGGTGTCTATACAGATAAAACTTGTTAACGTGGGGTTGAATTGTGAGAGAGTATTTGAGGAGACGGGAAATGAACATAATAGATTTTTGTCTCTTCTTACTTTGGAAAACTACTTTGACCTCTTCAGAGACTGTTCTCAGAAATAAATATATTTAAAAGCCACGAACAAATAAAAAGCACATTACCCTTTAGGAATATGTCCCACAATTTCTAGGCCATAGACGTATTCCATATCAGCATAGTAGCAAGCAATGGATGTAGCAATTATCTATTGATTCAACATAGAAAAAGACGTTATATTTCTATTGATTTTAGCTTCTGACATGGTCCCTATTATTGACACACCTAAGCACATAAAACTGTTCATACATTTATCCTTAGATCAATCCAGTAAGACAGCAAAGTGTTGTTATGAAATTTTTGCAAATATGGAAGAGAGTCAAAAGAAACTGATATCTGGACACAATAATGAATTTAGAAAAGATGGCTGGAGAAGGACTATTGTGCAGTTTGTACATTCTGCGGTAATGAAAGAGATTTGTATGAGCCTCTATAGAGCCTCAGGAACCTTGCCAATCAGTGTCCAAACTCCCTCTATTCAGCCTGCACCCAAACCACTGCCATTCATGTGAGAAGCTTAAAGAAGTGCGTAATTTAGGTGTCCCTGTACAGTCTGATTCTGCAGATGTTCTCTGAGCACATCTAATCCAGACTGGCATTGTTGACTTCAGCACAAAAGACAGCAGAATATATGTCTGCCTCTTATTTTTATGTTCCAGCAGGTATGAATCTTGCTGAGGAGTGGAAAGTTTGACCCCAAAGAGGTTCAAAATCATTTCCCATACTTTTTGTGAGATGAACACACGAATCCCAGAACGGGCTTGGGTTCCAGTCCACAATCCTTAGTTTACTGGTACGTTTTATCCAGCATTTTAAAAAAGGTAATATAGGAACAGATCTTAAAGCATGGAGGAGAACCACACTACCTCCTTTTCCAGCATTTTGCCCAATAAAAATTATTCTTTTGTAAATAACTTTTTCCAGAAAAAGAAGATTAATTGTAACAATCCACCACGAAAAGCACCTGTCCTTCATATTTTGTATTTTGTTTTAAACGCTTAGAGAAAACCAGAAACCTTCTACCCTGGTGCTGATCATATGACTACAGCTTAATCCTTAAAGCAGAGGTTTATAATCCAATAGTTAATTTCAATTTAGTCTCTGACATGTTAAAGGAAAACTATATAAAATTATATAAATTTATATAATTATAAATTATAAATTATATAAAGCAACAGCATAGATATTTAACTTTGTTACAAATAAATAACAAGCAATATTTAAGCCACAACTACTCAGCACAAAACTTGCCTGGAGATACTGTGTGCTGGTTACTTTTCATTTTCTATTTCAAACTTCTTACACTTTAACATACTAGGTTTTGTGTTCTTGCAACTATGTAAAAAGTAGTAAACATATGAAAAATATTATACAAATTGGGAGCATATGTCACTTCTTTCTTAATTATTTAGCCAAACTGTTTCTTGTTCTTACAATTAACATACAGCCATGAAAATTAGCTGTCCATTTAATAAGTGGCAGGTGTGGGTGCAGGTAACCATGGACAGCACAGTAAACCTTAGTAGATTAGTTGAGCCACTTAAAGCTTTCTAAGAAAAAGCCTGATATATAATTTTTGTACTCACCAGAAGTAGATCGATGGGAAGGACAACTTTAATGTCTCTCTGAAATTTCTCGTTCAGTTCTTTAACAAGAACGAGCACCACAATGCTCAGCAAGGAGAGAAGTAAAGCCTCCAGCTGAACTGATCTGATATTCTCAAATACGTAGGCATAAATCTACAGCAAGCAGCAAATAACAATTACAGGTCAAAAAGTGTATTCTGGATCACGTGCTATGGCATCTTCTACACAACTTCAGACATCTTAAATAATCAGTGAGAGCTGAATCAATACTGCAGAAGCTGAGTTATTGGACAAACTGGCCTATACTTTAGATTTTACAAGGAAGAAAATCACCAATTTACTATTACTATGGACTTTTTAAAACTCAAAAAAATTGCAGTGAATATTTGTATATATTAATATACAAACTTCTATTGGTAGAAGCAAGCAACAAATTTCCAATAAATGTGATATGTTTCCTTTTCTTATTCAGTCTCATTAAAATCAGCAACATAAATGAGTGTAGAGAAAAGCTTCATGCACAAAGATTTATTTGTAATGTCCATAGCATATAACATCCACCAACTCTAGTAATAAAAGTTATTTCTGAGGAAAAATGTTAAAAGACACAAAGAAGGGGAAAAGACAAGGAGAAAGAGGAAGAAAGAAAAGGGAAAGTAAAATGCAGTAATGGCTGGATGGGAAGAGATGCAACAGGAATCTTCCAAAATGAGCATCCTCTTCAGGACACACTCGGCAGTCTGCGAGGAAGTCCACCCAAATATTTTTCCAGAGTAACTGTACAACTTCAGCAGGGCATCCTCAGTTTCCCTACTGGTTGTTCTTTCCCCTTACAGAAACAGTCCTCCATAGAGCATGCTTTGGTCAGGTCTAGACACTCCATACACTAATTAGTTACCAAGCTTGTGTACATGTTATTGGTTATTTAATTAACTACTGTTATCTACTAAGCCCTGTTTGTTTCCTTTTCTGCCGACCGCGGAGTTAAAGGAGGAAGATGAGACTGGGGCAGAGCTATGGAGCTGTGAATGGGAGGCCTTCAGCTTTTCAGAGGTTAAGGTGTGCTGCAACATACTGTAAAACAGGTTAGAAAAGTATAGTTGGATCTGTGATGAAGAAAGGAAATATGGTGCTGAATGTAAGGAATGGGGGGAATAGAAATATGGAACCGGAATAGAATGACTAATGGTGATGAGCAACAGGAGTCTCTGATGATGAATACGATGTTGTAGGTAACAGACTCAGAAGATTGCAGTTGCCTTCATACCAGCATAGATGACACAGTGAACTGTCATTTTGGCTCTACTCTGAATTTGTGGGTTCGGGAAATGAGGCATAAATCAGTATGAAAACAGATAAACAGAAAGGAATTTAAAAAATTAGAAGTTTGCTGAAATGGTTAGACGGGGTTGAGAAAGTTAGAGGGATCTTCTATCCTGATAAATAAAGAAATAATGAGATCCTCATTGCAACTTATGTTCAGACTTCATGAACAAAAGCAATAGTCTGTTACCCAGAAGAACAATGAGCCATAAAAATGGATACAATCCTCATGCTTACTAAAACTGTAAAGGAAAGAAAACAAGGCAGGCTCAGTCCCTTGAATTTTGCATTTGTATGCTGGGAACTATTGTGTATTCTGAATTGTAAACTGTAGACAGAACAGAAGTGAAGATCTAGGATATAGATTTAGGCATCTTCACAAGTAACTCCTTTTTAAACCACAACATTAAGGGTAATAAAAGCAAGGAACTGAGATTTGAAATAATAATATTTAAAAAAAGTGCTTTCTCTGGCTATGACTAAGAAGACCGCTAAAATAAATGAAAAGTGACACTTGTAGTTTTATCAAAATAAAGATTAATAATTTTCTGCCCCAGAGAACCTATTCTCAAATACATGTATAATGCTTACAAGGTTTGACAGTGTGGAGCTTAAATACATATATTTATATTGGGCAGGAAAACGTACTAGAAAAATTATCTTAGGAAAGAACCCTTTTCTAGCAGAAAGGTGGTCAATATGATGATAAGCTTTGTTCTATTTTTCTAATTCTGTCACTCCTTGAAGTGGTGATGCTCATTTTGAAGAATGAATAAGTTACAATAACTTCCTGATTTTTCCTTGCTCATAATTTCTGAGAATATTTTCATAATCTAGAAAGGGGAAAAAAAACAACTTAAAAATGCTTACAGGAATGTAACTTTACTCATAAAGAGGAAAAAGTAGTCCAATTCTTTGAAATTTAGCCCTTGGACCTTCAATTAAGGATGCACAGTATAACACAACACAAACATTTCTCAGAAACCAAGAAAACATTTTAAAATGAGCTTGTTAAGTGACATCTCTATATGTCTTAAATCTGAAGAATGGCAATTAAACCAGTTTTTAACCACATGGTGCTCCACTGTATTCAGATGATATGTGGATTGTGTCTTGAGTGTCTTGGTGCTAGTCTCTGTACCCATAATTTTCCAAGAATGCATTTTCAAGAGAGCACATGACTTGGCTCAGTGCCCAGTCAGAAGCTATGATTAATTAAGACAAAAGGAGGCTGGAAAATTGTGCCCACAAATTCACCAAAGAGTCAGCTAGACCTAAGGTGAAGTGTTAAGAAAAGGGAAGAAATGAGTTGATTCCAAAATCAAAGAGATGTGGGCTCGTTACGAAATGAGTGGTGTCTATGAAAGTGTCAGCATTAGCTATCTGTGTTCATGGCATTAAATCTAATTTTCCTAGACAAAGTTAGACATAAGATTGATTGAATAAATACATTTTTAATGAAGGTTTACAGAGAAGTATATATAAGCTCTAAGAATTTCTGTTGTTCTTTTAAATTTACTAAAAAGACACTTCCATTTCATTTTAAAAACACATAGCCAAATCTTGTAAATCTTTGGCATAGCTTTTCAGACTTTGCAGCAAAAACATTATGTGAACTGCCTAGAATATTCTTCTGTGTTTCTCTTCAAATCATACCCTTCAGAATGTAGTCTACATCAGCCAATAAATGAAAAAGAATGGAACTACCAACATTTCATAGCCCATATGAATTCAGTAGCCCCAACAGCCCTATCCCCAAAGTGTCTGTAATACACTGAAAAAATTCTGGCAGTAATACATAAATATATAAGACTAAAGAGCTTCTACTGACTAGTCTGTTCCTGGATAACCATATTCTGAAAACCTAAAAGCACTCAATTCATGATATGACCAGTGAAGACCTTTCACAAGAAAGAAAGAGTATATGGCCCTTAACATGAATGTAGTTAACATACTATAGCCATCTCTTTATACTATACATTTTACATGGTATTCTGTCCACTCAGTTACTGTACTCATCCAAAGTAAAACTGTATATCCTAAATGTAAGTAAGTACCTAAAGCTCAAGGATGTAATAGCACCAGCATCTGATTCAAAGAGATATTTACAAATTTTTTAATCACAAACGTCATTATAAATTCAGTATTTTACATATTTTGAGGACGCACTTACTGAAATAATTTAGAAATTATGCAGCAGAATTTAGCTTTACATTGCAGTGTAAAAAGCAAAATTTGTCACTATATAATTTAAAAAAGGTTTTAAAATCAGTAATAATAAATTAAATGAGCTGTTTGCCTCCTGTAGTTTTAATTTTATAGCTACTTTTGTGTAAAGATTCTTAATGGAACCTATCTGACAATATGAAGAGGAATCAAGGAACTTTTTGGTAATCAATGCAAATTTGCACCTAAGTGAAAAAAGCGGTATTTTAGCTTTGCACGTATGTATACAGATACTGAATGTCCCTGTATTTTCACATACTTTCATAGGGTAATATTGAACATTATAATGGTTTATATTCTAGAAAGGATGTGTATTCTGATGTATTAATGAAATGCTCTGAGCGATTTTTTTAATGCATATATGAAACCCCAAAAGATTAGCTGTAAAATGAGTATAGAGGCTGAAGCAAACAAAAGAATTAAAGGAACTTGTTATTTAAAATACTTAATACATTTTAAGAGTGGAAAACCTCATTGCATTTTCAAAAGTATTTAATTCCAAAGTTTGTTAGACAAATATATCACACTGGAGGGAAAATGTACAGGCAACTACTGTGAATTGTATAGGGAACAAACTGGGAAAAAAAAGAGAAAAAAAGAGCTGATAGTGGGAACATGAAGGGTTTTTTTCAGATAATTGCACAAAACCACACAAGGACAACAAACTTGCAACACAGTCACAAAAACCCCAGTTTTGCAAATCAAGTTTCTTACTTGCAGTTCATTTTGCAGTGCTGTATTTTCTCAGAAACATGTGGAAAGAGAAATATATCTATACATAAATAAAGGGCAAATACAGATACTTTCTTCTGTTTTCAGATGCTAAGTAAAATTTGATGACGCTTTTCTTGTCCATTGTAAAATTATATCTCATGTAGTATTCCCTCATCATTTTTCTTCTTCACCTTCACCTTGCCTTTTCCATTGCAAAGTATCAACTGATGCTGCACTGTGCATCTTAACTGCAGTGTTACAAACCATGTACACAGAAAATGAAATTATGTAAACCATGCGTAAAAAACAAAAAAACCATAGGTTCAAGGCCAGCCTACTAAATTTGTTCTCCACATGCAAAGTTCATTCAATCATGATCTCACTTGCTATAAAGAATCCATTTCACTGCCTTGCTTTACTTGCAACTCTTCTATCACACTTTATTAAACATTCTTATTCTTGGTTTGCCAACCCAAAGGCTGCCTGAGGCAAAGCAATAGGTTTTGTGAGTGGGAGGTGTTTTGGAGTAGAGAAAGAAGAAAAATGTAAGCAAAATACCAGTCTTTGTGTTTCAAGAATTTGAAGTAAAGAACATGTCCAGAGAAACATGACAAATTTTCCTTTCATTCTCTAGTTACATGTGCAAACTAACTTATATATAATTAGTATAATTTTCATATAAAACTACCACCACAGAAGAAAATTGCTGTTAAAATCTAAATCTGGTACTTCTGACTGAGATATTGGACCTTCTTAAGGCAACCCATAAGTCTGAACAGATACTAGAAACCTTTTAAAACACTTCTCTGGTAAAACTGTCCCTTTTTTATTATTCTCTCAAGTTGTACAGAATGAATTTAGTTTGGTCAATTCTACAGAGCAACTGAAAACCTAAAAAAAAAGCAAGAAAATTTTTCTTTGGAAAATGTTCAAAGGGGTTTGATTTCAAAAGAGAAGTGAAGGGCAAGGAACTTGTTTCAGATACATTAAAAAATACAGGCGATAAGGGAATAGATTTCTTTCAAAGCATTTGAATGACCTCATTTATGATATCATCAGCACACCAACACGGAATTATTTCTTCATATCACTGCTGTTCTTTATTATTGCTCATAATGTATACTTTGATTATGTTTTGGCTGTGGTACTTAACACCACTCATGTGTACAAGATGACAATATTCCTATATGTAAGTATAGTCTTGATGGAAACACCATGAAAAAGAGGCTAGTCACGTTTTATATTAAGAATTATTTATGAAAAGATTTTTAAAGAATTTAAAAAAATTTAATATATGATGAATCATTTGTAATAGTTTCACAAGCCAACCCATAAAAATGGCTATGATACTTCTAGCTATGCCCCTACAAGATAAATTGCTTGTGTTTATTACATGCCCCTAATTTTCATTAATGAATTGGTCCTGTAAAAACTTTATTAATGAATTATCCATACAAAAAGTTATCAAATTTATAAAATACTATGAAAAACCATTCTAAAAAGCAACATTTTCTTATCAGAGCTTTCCCATTAACAAATTTCTCAAAATAATAGCAAAAAATAAAGCACATAGCAGGGCAGGAAGATACAGTCAGTGCTTTCTAATAAGGTGTCCTGATTTAGTGGCTAACTAAATGAAGCCTCACTATCAGTGCAATGTAAGTATCACCTCAACAAGAAAGTAAAGTCTTATTATGAGAAAAATGTCTTTTTGGCGGCTACTGTCATAATATTACTAATGCCAAGAGATTATGCTCACAGTATCTAAACTCAGGGCTTGATGGAATAAGTTACCATCAAGAATATGTTTTGCTCTTTAACTTTTCAGCCAGCAATATGTACTTTCCAAAGGCAGTAACCATGATACTTGGGGTGGTGCATCACCCCACACCCTTGGGCCAGCCCTACGATCTCAGCATTGACCAAACCAGCTGGGTGGTGAAGTGTCCTTGACTGTACCAGGTGCTCTTGCATGACACAGGTGGGAAAAACACTGTAGCAGCAAATTCAGCTGTCTGACCAAAGCAGGGAACAAACGATAATCAGTCATTCCCTGACAGCCTTGGGACATACCCTACCTGAATTGTAGCCCAGGTGGAACAGCACCATTGTTGCTTGAGTTTTGGAAACAATTTCCAAATGTTTTGGAAACTCCCGTAGCTACCAACCTGGGTTATGGCCCAGGTGGAAGCTTACTGATAGAATGTTACCATTGTTACTAGACTTTTGAATAATTTCATTAATTATTGATTTGAGTAAGTGCCAGGATAGCAATTGATTAATGACTAAAACAAATCATCTTGTGAACCTAAACACAGATGTCTTAAGTCAGAGGCCATCTGAGCTCTCCTGGGCCACAGTGGGCTGTGCCAGCACCTCCCTCTGGGATCATGGGCACCTCTTCAACCCTCATCAACCTTCAAGTCTGCAATACTTGAAAGACCATTGGTTAGGACGGGGCCTGGGCTGGTACACACACACACACATCCCCCCACACACCCACACCCACACACCTTGGGGTGCAACCCATGCCTTTTGAGAAACACTGCAGTATTTGCCGTTAGTATTTCACGGAACTTGGAGGGAATTTTTGACAGGTACCTGTACATGCACAGAAATAGATGTATACATCTTTGCCTGTGTCTGTGAGTGTGAAATGATCATGGTGTGAATGTTATTGTGAAGCTATAATTAGGTCACTGTTATAAGTATAGCAAGTTCTATTTAATCACTTCGTAAATGCTAAATAAATCCATAATGAGGATGGATTTCAGCCCTTTTGCACACCTTATCTTTTTGTATCCGTATCCTTACCCTGTTTCATCCTCAGTCTCCATGTAAATCATTCTAAATTGATTCTAATGCAATTTTCCTATGTATGCTTCATTCATGGAATAAGTAATAGAGTGAAACTTGCCATTGAACTCTGTTAGTCACTCTTTCATAAGTTCATATTAAAACCTGTTTTTTTGCCAATACCTTTGATGGTGATCCTTTAAGCAGCTTAACCACTCACGGGAACATTACTGTATGAAATGTTGAATGAATTTTATAAACATTAACTTAAAGCTATCCACTTGCTGTGTTTATCATGTCATAATGCAATAAGTAACGTATTTTGGGTAATTTTTGCATAGGAGATCCACAAATCATGGGCCAATTTCCTTTTACCATAATGACCGTCAGGTTTAACACATATATTTATTTGAAATTGATTACTGTATCCTTTTAAAATAAGACCCATTTCTGCTAGTTCTTCATCAAGTTTTCCAAATCCATTCTTACAAACAGACAAAGCAAGATGAAGGTTCATCTTGTGCTCATTCACACATGTGCATAACAAATTTCTTTCTCTTTATATATAGCGTAGTTGTTTAATAAAATGTTAGCTAATGAAGTAACCCATCTCTTTCACTGAACTCACATGAAAAAATCCCAGTGGTCCCGATATATATGGCATTTTCATTCCCAGCAGATACTTCACTTGTGAAGTCACAACGTGTGTAGCTGCTCCTGTTGTCATCGCGCTTATTACTGGCTCTGTTAACAAGAACGTGGCTCTGCCCAACTGCAGCATAAACATTGCTACCTAAAAGACAAAGGCAGGAGTATCAGCAGTTATAATACAATGCACCAGCTTGGTGATAGGACAATGAGCCACTTTTTTTAATATATTTTAAGATAAAAGAGCTGAAGATAAAAAGCAAAGGTCTTTGAAGGACAAATATAGCTGAAAATGGAATTCACTGAAGCTCTCTGGGTTTACCTGCACTATTTTACTTGCACCACTAATTTACCAGATTCTAACATCAGTTTAGTAACAAAATTGCACTCAGAGAAACTCTTAGTATTCTCTCCTGCTCAAATATATGAGCACAATCAACACCATGAAAACATCAGTTCAACACAACAAAAGGAAGTAAAGTAACTTAAAAAGTGGGGGTGGTGTTAAGACTCATTCCTGCTCCACTGCTATCCAGTCTGAGTAGGCAAAGGATCGTTATCTTCATCCAGTTTACCGATTGCCATCATGTTGATATCAAGATTCCCAATATTAGTAATTCCAACAGTAATTGCCAAATTTATGAAGTGGTATGGAGAGTCTCATGGAGAGACCTCTAATCCAGGAATCTGAACTACAGCAGAACCTACAACTATTGCAGATACTTCATAGGAATACAGGACAAATATTCAAAGCACCATTGGGCTCAACTCTTTTCTCCCCTTATTCCAGACTTCAAACATTCTTTTCCTCCGAGGTATGAGATTTGAGAGCTGTTAATTCTTTGAATAAAGTTGTTACATGACTACAGCTGCTACTGTAGTTTACATAATGCCTAACTTTTTTCTGACACATGTTAAATTACATTTACATTTTCCCCCCTTACAATGAATTTTGCAGTTTCTTACTTCTATGGTCTTGCATTTGCTGTTCTTCTGCCTGAAGTTACATGCTCTTGGCACATAGTTGTTTGTTACAATACTTTCTAAGAGGATTATTTTGGTTTTACCACACTAAATATCATCATTTTGGAATATATCACTGTGTCCTTTGCTTTTTTTTTTGTGTTCCGAAGCTAAAAGTATCACTTCCAAATGTTAGCATTCTTTATACCTGAACACTATTTATTTTTTCACCATAAAACTCACCTGTATGCAGTGAGCTATGAGCATAGTACCCAAAAAGAAACAAAAATACCAAAGTGGATTTTAATTTACCACAAAAATCTCTCGTGAGCAATTTCCTCTTCCATCAGAGCAATTAAATCTGAGCTTTTTTTCTATTTCCCACTAATAGCATGTAAATTACTCTGTATCACGTGCAATTGGAACATTGATTGCTGTTCAAGATTGGACTCCAATAATGATAATTACTGTTATACCCTCAGTGAGTAGTAATTTAGTTAGTCAGGCCTAAAACTGATAATTACTAACTTCAGATATTTTGTTTAGATATTTGTTCTAACAGTCTGCCTACTAAGATATTTAAAACACTGTTCACAGTAGTGATGTTGAATAAGAATTAAGTTCTTCATTCCCTGGTGAATTTTTGTTTGTTTTCTAAGATCAGTTTCTATTGTGTGAAGGTTAAATTTCTAACTGGGTAATAGCTTAGTTTCCAGAGAATTAGATGTATGTTTATTTAGCCGTGGAATTAGAGAAAATTCTTTGAACTACATAATATCACACAGAAGTGTTAGTTACTATTAGCATTTCAGAGAAAGTCATTATTGTGATTTACAGGAAAATGGTGTCATAATTGCTGAACTTAGAAACTTCAGCATCACTCTCAGATTTATTTTTTGGTTCTTTACTTTTTTTTTTTATCTTCAGCATTTTAAGAGATTGCTTTACAGATAGTAACTAAAAGATCACATTTCAAATATACTTTTTATTGTTTGCTAATAACTGTGGGTTATGTAAAATACATCCAAACCATAAGTATGGTTTGTGTTAGACAATTTGCTTTCACCAGGTATGCATTTTTGATTAAATTCATGTAAATGAAAACAAGAGCTGCTAGAGGAAAAAAAAAAACCCACAAGAGAAAGTGAGAGAAAGTAGCCTTGAACGCACAGTAAAGGAAAAGAGATCATGGAAACAAGTTATACAACCAGATAATTAGGCAAAAGTGGTGGAAGATGTGATTTCTATAAAAAAAAATTATAGAAAAAAAAAGGAAATTTCAAGATGAAAGAAAGATAATAGAAATGGAACCTTTTCTTGCAGCTGTCCTTACTGCTCCATAATTTTACTCCAACAAGTAGAAGAGAATGGGGATTTAGCCAGGAGAAGAAAAATGAGCAATTGCAAAAAGCAAATTCAAGCCCTTTTGATTCTTGTCCACTTTCAATATTTTCTTCCCATGACAACGCACTCAGTTTATTATTATTAAAATTATTATTATTGAAATTCCATTCAACATGTAGTCAATTTAACTTCATGGCCAGTAAAAATTTTTATCACTTAACAGCTCTTTGAAAATTACTAATATCAAACTTTCTGTTGAGAGTAATTGAAAGGCTGATATCATATTACCTGCTGCACAAATTCAGTTTTGGAGAATGAGTTTTAAAGCTCTTAAAACTCCACTGTCCTGGAAGGTTTTTTCACTGTTATAGCAAATAAAAGTGGTGCTACCTTTTCTGATGATTTGCTGTATGGGCTGAGAAGACAAGGTCAGGAATGGGGAACATCTCTTAGAGGGAAACACTACAGAGTGTGAGACTCTCATTTAGTACATTGTATTGGTTATCTCAAAGTCAGAGGTTGCAAAAGTCAAGACATTTATGGACCATGTAGAGAAAACAGTCAGACGTGGGCAGTTCAGCTTCACTGAGCAATCAGTTTAAAACTCTTCTCAGCCTGTTTCGATAGACATTTAATTGTGAGCTTTTGGTCTTCTGCATTGCAACTCTCATGTTCATTATGGCTGTCTCGAGAGTGTCTGGTAGCTTCTGATGGTGTGGAAAGTCATCTTTCCACACTCCAGGACCTGAAAAAGTCTTCTTTCTATGATCTTTCTGTACTAACACATTGTATGCTTCACCATAATTGTGGGAACCAGATGTCCCACCTAGCCTACTTGTAGTTTTCAAGCTACAGAATATGAACCTGCAAGAAGTTATTTCCACTGTAAAAGAAAAATTAACTGTTTTCCTGATTATCACTTATAATAGACTCATGTTATAATCTCATGAAAAACTATGTGTAACATAGAATAGAGCAACATAACATTCCCCACAGGGAAGAAAAGTTTTGGACAAGAATATTAGCCTTCCAAAAACACCCTTCATATTCAAATGTGCTCCTTTTTTGTTAAGTAAACTGATAATACACCATGTAAATTTGTTCTCCTGATAACTAGAAACATTTTATTTCAAATACTTTGTATCAGCAACTAATTACATGTTAGTTTTCAAAATACAGCAGTTGAAAAATTTACTAGTGAAAATGTAGAAGACTGGAATGCAATAAGCAGCTATTTCTCATTTACAGAAGAGTAGCATAGCTGAACTCTGTAACACTGTGGTCTTAAGAGAATAAAACTTTTTTTGTAGGATAAAAATTATTTTTTCTCATTTTGATCTGCAAACAGCTTTCCTCTATTCAGCAAATCTTCGTGTTGAATTTCAGTTTAGTATGCTGAGGTTCTTTTATAGACACATATATTTATGCAAGCAGTCTTGCACATATAATATATTAATGGGGAAAAAAATCTTATCCAAAAGCTTTTTTGAATTTTTTTAATGTTATAAAGGCATCATCCAATTTTAATTACAAAATTATCCCATAGGTATCAGTTATGTTCCCTCACTTCCTCTCCCCATCAATACACCTGATGTATTTAATATCAGGAAAGAATTCTATTAACTTGACTAGTTTTCCATGCCCTGTTTATCTTAATAGAGTAGGAGCTACACAAATATAGGAAAAAATTTTCATTATTCCTTCTTTTCTACTTTTAAAAAATGAAATAGTGAATTCATTATATTATTTTTTCCAATTACAGTTTTTATTTTACATTTACTTATTTTCTATTTTAATACTATTTTATCCTCATCAGAAGCCTCTTAAGATGACTAAATATCTTTCGTCTTTTATAAACAGTCCCTCAAACATTATATTTAAAAAGCTGTTTAGGACTCTGAAATTTATTACTAGAAAAAAATGTAAGCAACTAAGCACCAAATTTCAAATCTCATAAGCTTCACCTGATGATGAGAAAACAGTTCTAATTTATTCATGTCTAGATGGCACTGAGATTCACAAAGCTTGCTCAGAGCTTGCCCCACACACAAATGCACAGTTACGGTCTGCACAAAACATACAGCAGCCAACAGCAGATCATTTCAAAAACACATCTCTACCCTTTGCTTTCCCTCCATGACTCACTATTTTGTATGTTTTTCCTTTTTTTTCTTTGACATTAATTGCTGATTAGAGTACTTAGCCAGGCTACTGAAAAAATAGTATCAAATTGCTTTTCAGGCCAAGGACATTCAGCTCTTTACCTACTCTTTCATAGAAGGAAACAGCTGTTTTGGACAGGGACTTTTCATCCTACATATGGAGGTTGACCAAGGTATGGAATAATCACAGCATCAGTTGTTTTTGCGAAATTAGATTTTTGCGCTGATTAGAGCACTGCATTTTGACTGTTTTTTTCAGAATAACGAGTCATAGTAGATACCATAGCCCAGGTCTGCTCCCTTTCCAGAGAAGTACCATCCCAAATACCAGCTACAATGACAATTCAGTTTCTTTCTGTATTTTAGGATGTTTTCAGTGGAAAACTCTTGCCCCCAAATGCATCACACTATTTCTCTTGTCCCAGAATATACATTTACTCCAGGCTATTAAATAATTTCTAGTCTAATCTGATAAATAGATGCAGGTCACTGACAGCTCTCCATTAACAGCAAGATGTGCCCTGTCATCTTATCTGGGAATTGCAGGAACTGTTAGTCAGACTGGAATCATGATGAGAAACATAGATTCCCACACTTAACAGCACCTGGGAAGATGGCACAATCTAATCTCAGCCTTGATCCAGACTTTCACTTGCATTATTAAGAGCTTCGAGGC